AGTGTGGAGTGTCGTGGTGAGTGTGAGTGTGACTGTGTGAGTGTGTGAGTGTGAGTGTGATGTGTGTTGTGTGGTGTGTGTGTGTGTGTGTGTGTGTGTGTTTGTGTGTGTGTGTGTGTGCGTGGTGCGTGAGTGTCGAGTGTAGTGTGCGTGATGTGTGAGTGTGCGAGTGAGTGTGAGTGTGCGAGTGATGTGAGTGTGTGAGTGGCTAAGTGGTGTGTGAGTGTGCGAGTTGAGTGTGAGTGTGGATGTGAGTGTGAGTGAGTGTGAGTGTTTGAGGTGAGTGTGTGAGTGTGATGTGTATATGAGTGTGAGTGTGTGAGTGTGAGTGTGAATATCTTCTTTCAACACACCGGCCGTATATATACACAGTGGACCCTCAAATTTAGTAGTGCCTTTTTTTGTATGCAAAACTATTATTATTATCTATAAAATGTATTGTTTATTAATATTTTTGGGTGTCTGGAATGGTTTAATTGGATTTACATTATAGTGGACCCCGGTTTACGATCACCTCCCAATGCGACCAATTATGTAAGTGCGTTTGTACGTGTATGTTTGGGGGTCTGAAATGGACTAACCTAATTCACAATATTCCTTATGGGAACAAATTCGGTCAGAACTGGCACCTGAACATACTTCTGGAATGAAATAATATCGTAAACCGGGGGTCCACTGTATTTCCTATGGGAAATATTAACAAAACATACATTTTATAGATAATAAAAATAGTTTTGCATACAGAAAAGGCAGGAATAAATTCGAGGGTCCAATAAAAATTAACACACACACACAACACAACACAACACAACACAACACAACACACACACACATACACACACACACACACACACACACACACACACACACACACACACAACACAAACAACACAACACAACACAACACAACACAACACAACACACACACACATACACACACATACACAACACATACACACATACACACACACACACACACATACACACACACACACTTGTATACAACAGGCCAAGTGTCTAATCAACATGTGCCTAGGACAAAATGGTAACTAACACACACACACACACACACACACAAAATTTTGTAGCTTATAAGACTTGTTTTAATTTCACTGGCTGGGCATCGGACGTAACTGGGAGAGCTACAGCCCACCCCACACTCCAAACTTATAGCTCCCCAAACTTATAGCTCCCATCACTGAACTTCAGTTTATAGGATGCACGGTGGTTTTTGAAGACATTTTATGGAAAAAATGCATCTAATAAGCCACAAAATATGGTATATATATGCATGTACTTTCTGCTCCTCCCACAAGAGAACGTTGGACAGATCCAGGAGGACAGGGAAGCACATCTTGTTTATCTTGCAGTCAAGAACCTGGGAATGTTGCTGCCAATCATCGCCTGCCACTTGCTACCTCGATAAAAACCTGATGACACTCCCCCTACGGGGGAAGCCATGACTGGGTCACCACATGGAGAAGACTTGGGCCAGGATCTCCTGGTGAACCTACCTCTACCTGTACCCATCTACTCAGGTAGATCTGTTCATGACTTGATAAAGCACAATGTATGGGTGAAATAGTCAATAAACAATCACATTAAACTGCATTTGTGTCTACTTTTCCAGATAGTTTATAATTTGAAGCCCCATAATTGTGGAATACAAATTTCTTGACAAGACAGAGCTCAGGCCAAGGCTAGGGTACTGGGTGAATCTGTTAGCCCGACACAACCATCAAGGAGGAAACACTTAGCTACCATGCTTCCCCCATACACACGCACACGCACACACATACACACACACACACATATACACACACATATACACACACACATACACACACACACACAGAGCAAAGTTGCTGGTTATGGGGGATTTCAACCACAGGGAGATTGACTGGGAAAACCTGGAGCCACATGGGGGTCCCGAAACATGAAGAGCCAAGATGATGGACGTGGTGCTGGAAAACCTCATGCACCAACATGTTAAGGACACTACCAGAGTGAGAGGGGAGGATGAACAAGCAAGATTGGACCTTGTGTTCACCCTGGGCAGTTCAGACATTGAGGACATCACGTATGAGAGTCCCCTAGGAGCTAGCGACCACGTGGTTCTGTGCTTTGAATATATAGTAGAGCTGCAAGTGGAGAGAGTAACAGGAGTTGAATGGGAAAAGCCTGACTATAAAAGAGAGGACTACATAGGGTTGATGAATTTCCTGCAGGAGGTCCCGTGGGACAGAGAACTGGCAGGAAAGCCAGTAAATGAAATGATGGAATATGTAACAGCAAAATGCAAGGAGGCAGTGGAAAGGTTTATTCCCAAGGGCAACAGAAACAACAGGAAGACCAGAACGAGCCCCTGGTTTACCCGACGGTGTAAGGAGGCAAAAACAAAGTGCAATAGAGAATGGAAAAAGTACAGAAGGCAGAGAACACACGAAAATAGGGAGATCAGTCGCAGAGCCAGGAACAAGTATGCACAGGTAAGGAGGGAGGCCCAGCGACAGTATGAAAATGACATAGCATCGAAAATCAAGACTGACCCGAAACTGTTGTATAGCCACATCAGGAGGAAGACAACAGTCAAAGACCAGGTGATCAGATTAAGGACAGAAGGGGGAGAATTCACAAGAAATGACCAGGAGGTATGTGAGGAGCTAAACAGGAGATTTAAGGAAGTTTTTACAGTAGAGACAGGAAGGGCTGTGGGAAGCCAGCACAGAAGGGAACATCAAGAGGGAATATACCACCAAGTGTTGGATGACATACGAACAACCGAGGAGGAGGTGAAGAAGCTGCTAAGTGACCTTGATACCTCAAAGGCGATGGGACCGGACAACATCTCCCCATGGGTCCTTAGAGAAGGAGCAGTGATGCTGTGCGTGCCTCTAACCACAATCTTCAACACATCCCTTGAAACTGGGCAACTACCTGAGAAATGGAAGACAGCAAATGTAGTCCCCATATTTAAGAAAGGAAACAGAAACAAGGCGCTAAACTACAGACCTGTGTCTCTGACATGTATTGTGTGCAAAGTCATGGAGAAGATAATCAGAAGGAGAGTGGTCGAACACCTGAAACGGAACAAGATTATAAATGAAAACCAGCATGGGTTCATGGAAGGCAAATCTTGTATCACAAACCTCCTGGAGTTTTATGACAAGGTAACAGAAGTAAGACACGAGAGAGAGGGGTGGGTTGATTGCGTTTTCCTAGACTGCAGGAAGGCCTTTGACACAGTTCCCCACAAAAGATTAGTGCAGAAGCTGGAGGATCAGGCGCATGTAACAGGGAGGGCACTGCAATGGATCAGGGAATACCTGACAGGGAGGCAGCAACGAGTCATGGTACGTGAAGAGGTATCACAGTGGGTGCCTGTGACGAGCGGGGTCCCACAGGGGTCAGTTCTAGGGCCAGTACTATTTTTGATATATGCGAACGACATGATGGAAGGAATAGACTCTGAAGTGTCCCTATTCGCAGATGATGTGAAGTTGATGAGAAGAATTAAATCGGACGAGGATGAGGCAGGACTGCAAAGAGACCTGGACAGGCTGGACATGTGGTCCAGAAACTGGCTTCTCGAATTCAATCCTGCCAAGTGCAAAGTCATGAAGATTGGGGAGGGGCAAAGAAGACCGCAGACAGAGTATAGGCTAGGTGGACAAAGACTACAGACCTAACTCAGGGAGAAAGACCTCGGGGTGACCATAACACTGAGCATGTCACCGGAGGCACACATCAACCAAATAACTGCTGCAGCATACGGGCGGCTGGCAAACCTGAGAATAGCGTTCCGATACCTTAATAAGGAATCATTCAAGACACTGTACACTGTGTATGTTAGGCCCATACTGGAGTATGCAGCACCAGTCTGGAACCCACACCTGGTCAAGCACATCAAGAAGTTAGAGAAAGTACAAAGGTTTGCAACAAGGCTAGTCCCAGAGCTCAGGGGAATGTCGTACGAGGAAAGGTTGAAGGAAATCGGACTGACGACACTGGAGGACAGAAGGGTCAGGGGAGACATGATAACGACGTACAAGATACTGCGGGGAATAGACAAGGTGGACAGAGATAGGATGTTTCAGAGAGGGGACACAGAAACAAGGGGTCACAATTTGAAGCTGAAGACTCAGACGAGTCACAGGGACGTTAGGAAGTATTTCTTCAGTCATAGAGTTGTCAGGAAGTGGAATAGCCTAGCAAGTGAAGTAGTGGAGGCAGGAACCATACATAGTTTTAAGAAGAGGTATGATAAAGCTCAGGAAGCAGAGAGAGAGAGGACCTAGTAGCAATCAGTGAAGAGGCGGGGCCAGGAGCTGAGTCTCGACCCCTGCAACCACAATTAGGTGAGTACAATTAGGTGAGTACACACACAATTCAAATAAGGCCAAAGAATATTTGGAAATGCCAGAAGAGCATCAAATGAGTTTACTTTGTACATGTCAAGAATATAGCTACCATTCCCAGCTCCCTCCCTACAATGTTATTTCACATCACTAAGAACAACAATAATAATAATAATAATCATAAAATAATAGTAATAATAATAAAACAATAATAATAAGAGATTTTATAATTTTTGTGCATTTGTTTTTTCGAGAAATTCATGAGTACTCGCACATCAAATCTTAAATACAACAGCTACCATAAAAAAAAGAATATTAATTAATATTCAAGACTGACAGTATGATCATTAGGATCATAAACTCTAGAAAAGAGATGTGTTACCAACTAAAACTTAAAAATATGAACAAATCCTCGACTCTTGGCAATGGCCATCGAATAATCGGTTAGCTACATGCAAAAAGAATCTTTCTGCAAATGATTTCTCCCCATGCTTGTCATACGTATAAGCTTATGACAGTTTCTCACTCACTGGGTTGTGGCCCCCAAGGAAAAGCTGAAAGAAAGGAGTACCCTCAACAAATAGTGGGCTGTCTTGCAAAACAACCGAGAAATACATGTACAGTGGACCCCTGCTTAACGATCACCTCCCAATGCGACCAATTATGTAAGTGTATTTATGTAAGTGCATTTGTACGTCAATGTTTGGGGGTCTGAAATGGACTAATCTAATTCACAATATTCCTTATGGGAACAAATTCAGTCAGTACTGGCACCTGAACATACTTCTGGAATGAAAAAATATCGTTAACCGGGGGTCCACTGTATTACATTATCTCTATTTTGTAGAAGATGCATCAATGTAAGTGATTTGTATCATTATTACACAAATGTGATGCAAGGTAAGATTCTATACATAAATAACCTGCACATAATAGAAGTTTACGATGATGTTTTGGTCTGACTTGGACCATGTACAAAGCCACACTAATTCAAAGAACGTGACTTTGTAAATAATCAAAGTTGGACCGAAATGTTGTGGTAAGCTTCTCTCTCCTATGTGCTAGTTATGTGTGTATTGTTCCAGTCACTGTTCTCAAAACAAGTTACTATGGCACTGGCATCAACATTTTTTTCTTTTTTGGGTACCCGTCTTGGTGGGAGACGGCTGGTGCGTCAAAATAAAAACTGTATCAAATATTTTAATCTGAACAAACATAGAGCAGCTATTAACCGCATAAGATAACATGCCTTCTCACCAGGATGACTGATAACATGCCTTCATTCTGGAATAGTTATTTCTATAAGACAATATGAAATTTTTGTATGGTTGCTATGGCACTTTAAGCAGGTACAGTATACTACAGCTGTAACAATACGTACTTCTTTCTTTCAACACACTAGCTGTATCCCACCAAGGCGGGGTGACCCAAAAGGAAAAACGAAAGTTTCTCCTTTTACATTTAGTAATATATACAGGAGAAGGGGTTACTAGCCCCTTGCTCCCGGCATTTTAGTCGCCTCTTACAACACGCATGACTTACGAAGGAAGAATTCTGTTCCACAATACAACCTTACAATACTTTAATATTTAGCAATACAGTACTTACTGTAAATTTGTACATCATTTTAAGTGTCATCTATTGTATTCCTACATTCAGATATATCCAATGTAGATTTCTTCTACTTGTAAATAAGCCTAAAGTGCAGTGCCTGTGCTATGAAGAAAGGGTGGGGATATTTGCTGTTTAAAGTGGCATCTGAACTGTAGTATCGGCATGCTTATGGCAAAACAGTGATGGAGTGAATGGTGGTGAAAGTGATTTCTTTTTTAGGTCACTCTACTTTGGTGGAAGACGGCAATTAATACCCTGAGGGGTTGCTAAATTTCCTTTAAGACACTTTAGCATCGGTGTGTGGCATAATATAAAAATCCTATGCATATAAAGAAATCAAGATGACTGTCAAGACCCTTAAAAGTTTTGCATACACTGAGCAAATACAATGACAAATTGGTGACTGAATGCAACATAGGTAAGTGCCACATTGGGAAAAGTAGGATTAATTGAAAACATTATATGAGAATACTGACTGTGTGTTAAGTCTGGATAACACTGGAGAGCTCCACGGGCAAGTGGAAAGGAATTCTTCCTCTTTAAGGCATGTGTCATAAGGGGTTACTATAATGCCGAGAGCAGGTGGTTAGCAACCCCTTCTCCAGCACCTGAGTCCTGGAGGTGGGAAGTACAGTGCTTGCACTCCATAGGAGGGGTTTGGGATATTTGCTGGTTAGAATGACATCTAAACTGTCGTATCAATGTGCCTCTTACAAGACAGTAATGGTGTGAATGGCGGTGAAGATGTTTCTTGGGTCACCCTGCCTTGGTGGGAGACAACAGACACATTAAAAAAAAAAAATAGAATGGAGAAAGAAAAAGATGTGGAAGGAACAACAGATAAGAGATCACTGGAAGGCCACATCAGTGTATTAGTGAGAAACTCCTCCTATACCACAAACTTTCAAAGTACATTTCAGATATGTAACGTCCATGATTGGCTAATTGCAGTTGGTGTTCGTAAAATAAATCTAAAGGAATGATGCAGAATGGCTCCCAGAGTTAAGAAATGTGAATTAAAAAGAAAGATACCAAAATTCGTTTTTGGTAGAGTTACGACAACCAAACAAAAAATCTTAAAAAAACAGGATAAAACAGATATGTTAAGAAATATTTCTTAGCACCATCAACTAGAACAATAGGACACAGCTGTAAAATAGTATAAAAAAAATTTACCAAAAGACCACTAGCAAAATATTTCTTTCCAACGAAGTATATTGATGGAATGAAATCCACAAGGATCAGGATGCTCTACAACCACTGAAAATTTTTAAAAATTAATAAAAATTACTGAAGATGAGGTACTACATTCATAGCTCTGATCCAGTAACTACTAACGGGTATAATAGGTAATCACATATACATAAACATACACACATACCACAAAAACGCTGAAACAAAAGCTACCGTTTAAGAAGGTCCTCAAACTCGGATTCGGAGACATTAAATCCTATACTCAGCCTGTTGCTACTACTCACTAAGCTTGCCTCCGTCTGATCTATAGTAACAGTACGCTGGTGATCATTTGCTTGATCAAGTAAAACTTGTGCCTTTGCACCATTTTCACTACCACTAACTGCTTGATTAATAGGTGAGGGACTATGAAAATCAGAATTAGTTTCTAGAGCGCCAGCAAAAGTTAGGCGAGGCATTGATGGCTCACTGCTAGAATGAGTTGTATCTAATTTCAAGTTCAGATTGGGCGCATTGTGTGAATTTAATGGCTGTCCAACCGTATCATAACTCCGGGAAGGAAGATTAACTTCAGAATGAACACTATGACTCTGAGGCAATATTAATGGATTACCATTTGTAGTTACTTGTGAAGATGTCATTATGTGTTGCTGATACACAGGTGGACCAAGGTTAGGATCCTGACTCTGACTAATACTAGCTGTTGCTTCCTGAAGCTTGAACAGCATCTCACTGAGATCAGTTGTGTCTCCTGAAGTGTCTAGCAGCTTAGGTGCATCACAACCATCTCCGTTTCCGCTAACTACCAATCCCGTTCCTTCGCTCAACAGTCGTGGCAGGTCCTCCGCTGTAATGTCTAAGTCGCCGAGGGGCATCTGTTGCATTGTATTAACCTGAGGTATGGTAGACGTAGACATAAGGGAAGAATCAATATTTGATAAAGGCAAACAAGAAGAGATGGCAGAAACTGAATTAGTGTTATGGCTGGTAAAATTGGGGACTTGAAGAGGTAGACTTGAGGTTACACTTGTGACTGCTGATGTGTGTGGGACACACGATGCTGCTTGACTCATGGTCAAACTAGTACTGCTCACTGAAACATGATCATTATTTATTGGCATGCTAAAATGTTGGGCAGAGACTGGTAAACCTGTGGTCCCTTCAGGCATGGTAGATGACGACGACGACGATGATGGTGATGATGAAGTGGTTGATATGGAAGTTTGTAAATGACCGGGACCTAAATTAGGCTCAGAAGAGATCTGGGCAGAAAGGCTAAATGAAGAGAGGTCCAAACTATGGGTTGCATCCTCAAGGGCCTTGTTGACACAACCAACACTATTATACTCTTCAACCTTCCTTTGATATGTTGCAATATCAATGCCTACAATATTACAGTGTAGACTCTGGTCACCATTAAGTACAACAGTAGACTTCTGGTCTAGACCTTTTTCACACATCTCTCTCTCTTTTCGAATTCTCTTTGAAGCAGTTTCATCGAGTTTATCATCCATTTCCAATTCTTGTTTTATCACATCTGTATTTACTGGTGCTGTTAAACTGTTTTTCATTAATGCTGAACTTGCATCAGTAGAACAAAGAATGGTAGGCGAGTGTGACTGTTCTTGTTCTTTGTAAACACCGCTTGCAATTCCCAGGACTCTGGCAAGATAATCACACACCTGAAAAGGAAATATAATTGAGAGAGAAATATATACTAAACATAGAAGGTGACAGGAAAAGAAAGTGCAGGAGGGCCCAACTCATACAGCAGGTTAGGTTCTGGGCTACTGTAGGGCCCTGCTTATACAGCAGGTTAGGTTCCCGGCTACTGTAGAGTCCTGTTTATACAGCAGGTTAGGTTCTGGGCTACTGTAGGGCCCTGCTTATACAGCAGGTTAGGTTCCCGGCTACTGTAGAGTCCTGTTTATACAGCAGGTTAGGTTCTAGGCTACTGTAGGGCCCTGCTTAAACAACATGTTAGGTTTTGGGCTACTGTAGGGTACTGCTTATACAGCAGGTTAGGTTCTGGGCTACTGCTGTAAAGCAAAATTGCTGTAAAGTGAAACACAGCCTTTTTCACTTTCAAATGTAAATGAAAGTCTGATAACATGTTTACACTATCATATATTAAGTGAGCAATAGAGCCAGACCTAAAAAATGCATGTACAGTACACACATTAATTACAATAAAATATTTCTGCCCTTAGCTTATAAAGTGGTGAATATATTTATTGCAGGAAGTCTGAATAAATGAAGAACGGGTATAACCAAAAACCGCTGCATTAGCAAAACGCCGTAAAGCGTTTGCAAACAGCTCCAGGGAAAAATCTCTACCTTTCCCCTGAAGCATGTTTATTCTCTTCTCTGAGGCTGTGAGTTCCAAATTACTACTGAAAAATCTGGAAGTACCATGTAAACGCATAATACCATATATAACCTGCATCCAATTTGTTCAGTTTGCCTTTGAAAAAAAAATCTCGTTTAATCTAAAAATTTCACTAACATCTGTTACTATAAAGTACTGATAATGTTACAAAGGCAATGTTTAGGGTCCAGCTTTCTAAAATGTTTAGACAAGCTGTTCAATGTACAGTGGAACCCCAGTTTTCGTCTCTTAATCCATTCCAGACGGTCAGCCAAAAACTGATTTGTACAAAAATTGAAGCAATATTTCCCATAAGAAATAATGTAAATCCAATTAATCTGTTCCAGACACCCAAAAATATTAAAAAAAAAATACACTTTATAGAGAATAACTGTAGTTTTACATACAGAAAACAATGAGAAATATATATAAAGTATATACTAATGAAATGGATAAATGAACATTGAACATCACTTTACCTTATTGAAGACCCGCTGGTGTATGTAAGATGTTGAGGAGGGAAGAGGGAGGAGAGGTTATCTCTACCACCACCACTACCACCACCACTACCACCCACTACCCTACCCCACTACCACCTCACACCATCACTCACCTCTACTCACTCACCACTACCACCCTCTACCTACCACCACACCACCTCTACCACCCATACACTACTACCACCTCACTACACCACTCTAACCTCACTACCACTCACCACACCACTACACCTACCAACTCCTACCACCACACTACCACCACCACTACCACCATCCTACCACCACCACTACCACCCTCTTCACCATCAACTAACCACCCTCTACCACCCCACTACCACTACCACCCACACTACCACCCTCTACACCATCCATACCACACCCTCTACCTCACCCCATACACTACCACCACCACTACCACCCTCTACCACCATCACTACCACCCTCTACCACCATCACTACCACCCTACTACCACCATCCTACCACCCTCTACCACCACCACTACCACCCTCTACCACCATCCACTACCACCCTCTTTCCCCACCACTCCACCTCTACCATCCACCACACCACCCTCTACCACCACCACTACCACCCTCTACCACCACCACCTACCACCATCTTACACCAAACCCCTACCACACTACCACCCTCTACCACCACACTACCACCACCACTACCACCCTCTACACATCACTACACCACCTACCACCACCACTACACCCTCTACCACCATCACTACCACCCTCTACCACCACCACTACCACCCTCTACCCACCACACACCCTCTACCACCACCTTACCACCACCACTCCTACCTCACTACCACCCTCTACCACCACCACTACCACCCTCTAACCACCAAACCCCTACCACCCTCTAACCCCCACCACTACCAAACCCCCTACCCCCACCACTACCACCCCTCCACACCACACCACCCCTACCACCACACTACCACCCTCTACCACCACCATACCACCACCTCTACCACCCACCACACTACCACCCTCTACCACCACCACTACCACCTCTACACCACACTACCCCTCTACCACCACCACCTACCACCCACTACCACCCTCTACCACTCATACCACCCTCTACCACCACCATACACCCCTCTTACCACCATCACTACCACCCTCTACCACCACCACTACCACCCCTACCACCCCACTACCACCCTCTACCACCACCACTACCACCTCTACCACCACCACTACCACCCTCTACCACCACCACTACCACCCTCTACCACCACCACTACCACCTCACCACCCCTCTACCACCTCTACCACACCACTACCACCCTCTACCACCACCACTACCACCCTCTACCACCATCACACCCCCTCTACCACCACCACTACCACCCTCAACCACCACACTACCACCTCTACCACCATCACTACCACCCTCTACCACCCCACTACCCACCCTCTACCACCCACACACTTACCACCCCCTACCACCATCACTACCACCCTCTACCACCACCACTACCACCCTCTACCACCACCACTACCACCCTCTACCACCACCACTACCACCCTCTACCACCACCTACCACCCTCTACCACCACCACACCACCCTCTACCACCACCACTACCACCCTCTACCACCATCTCCACTACCACCACCACTACCACCCTCTACCACCACACTACCACCCTCTACCACCACCACTACCACCCCACCCTCCTACCACCCCCACCACTACACCACCCTCTACCACCACCACTACCACCCTCTACCACCACCACTACCACCCTCTACCACCACCACTACCACCCTCTACCACCACCACTACCACCCTCTACCACCATCCACTACCACCCTCACCACCTCCTACCACCACCACTACCACCCTCTACCACCACACTACCACCCTCTACCACCCCCTACCACCATCACTACCACCCTCTACCACACACTACCACCCTCTACCACCATCACTACCACCCTCTACCACCACACCACCCTCTACCATCATCACAACCACTACCACCCTCTACCACCATCCTACACACCCTCTACCACCACCACTACCACCCCTACCACCACCACTACCACCCTCTACCCACCCTACCCCTCACTACCACCTCTACCACCATCACTACCCACCCTCCTACCACCCCACCACCACCACCCTCTACCATCATCACAACCACTACCACCCTCTACCACCATCACTACCACCCTCTACCACCACCACTACCACCCTCTACCACCACATCCACCCAACCACTACCTACCCTCTACCACCATCACTACCACCCTCTACCACCACCACTCACCACCCTCTACCACCACCACTACCACCCTCTACCACCACACTACCACCCTCTACCCACACTACACCCCTACCATCATCCAACCCCACCTCCCCCATCACTACCACCCTCTACCACCACCACCACCACCACCACCCTCTACCACCTCATCCACCAACCACTACCACCCTCTACCACATCACTACCAACCTCTACCACACCACCACCTCTACCACCCACACCACCACCACACCACCTCTACCACTCATCACACCATACCCCTCTACCACCATCACTACCACCCCTCTACCACCACCCTCTACCACACTCCACCACCACTACCACCCTCTACCACTATCACTACCATCTCTACCACCATCACTACCACCCTCTACCACCACCCCACCACACCACCCTACTACCCATCACTCACTACCAATCCCTACCACCCTCTACCACCACCACCACCCTCTACCATCATCACAACCACTACCACCCTCTACCACCATCACTACCACCCTCTATGAGTAACAAAGGCAGATTGAGTCACAAACTATGAGCAGCTGCGTCCCGCCGGTAGGCGGACGCGTCTGGTACAGACAATTTCCAAGCGGATGTATGAAAACAGGGAAAATTTCATCAAAAAAGTGGTCAAAAACTGAACTGTAAAGTGAATGATGGTGAAAGTGTTTCTTTGTTTCTTTTTCGTGTCACCCTCCCTCAGTGGGAGATGGCCAGTGTTAAAAGAAATCTGAATCGTGTTATCTGTGCACTCTCGGCAAGACAGTTGCTGAAAGTGATGATGAATGTACGTCGTCTTTGGGCTACCCAACTTTGAAGGGAGCTAAGAAAAATATATACTTACCTTGACAGTACTGACACTTGCCGGGTCTTCGCTCATCACTTGGTTACTGACGCTTTCTTCACCATTCCTGGCAAGTGACTTCTCATTCTTGACTACTGCCATCTGCTTCACAACATTATCTGAGTCCAACTTGCTGCTCTCCACATTATCTGAACATTCAGAGTCCTTATTTAATATAGGAACATTGTGCTTGTGACCAAATTCTTGACCATCATTGTACAAAATATCTTGGAAAGGTTCCATTTGTTTTTCAAAGTCTTCTTTAAACTCTTTAAGAAGACTTTGCAATATACAAAATTTGTCTTGCCATGACCACTGTGAACTACTGGCATTGCTTCCCTGGGCTTGAAAGCAAAGTACCTGCCATGGAGTCAAGTTCTCGACCAGACGTTTACCGACTGCTTTCTGGATCTCTTCAGAGCTATAACCACTAAGAATCTGTAGATACACAAGTGTGGTAAGAATCATATTTGCTACAATGCCTTTTCAATCATCTATGTAAGTTACTAAGTCCATAATAAGTGAAGAGGAACATGTGTAATCCACATTTATTTAGTAAACCCAAACACACTTAATACCTTACCTGATTGAACAAAATACAATACTGTACATTGATTTTTCTCTCTCATTGTAACTAAGGCATATAGAATACAGAAAGCAGAAAAAGGCAGAATACCGTGACTGCAGCAATACACAAATAACCTGTACACACAAATAAATGAAACTTGTGACGATATTTCAGTCTGACTTGAGTTTGGTTTCTATGTGTAAGAAACTAATCAATACAGTGGACCCCCGACTTACGATCAGCTCCCAACTCGAACAATTATGTGAGTGTATTTTTGTAAGTGCTTTTGTAAGTGTATTTTTGGGGGTCTGAAATAGACTAATCTAATTTACAATATTTCTTATGGGAGCAAATTCGTTCGGTAACGGCACCCGAACAGACTTCGTAAGTCAGGGGTCCACTGTATACTGCTTCACACAGTATATAACTCTATTTCATATAGTACACAAATCATATATCCACAAATTGCAATTAGTAATCGTATTTCATGCTTTAATCAGGTAATTATACTGTTTATAATATTGCTCTTATTTCTCCCTTAATAATTCTTTGATCACCTTACTGTGGTCATCTTACTATGGTTGAGGGACTGATTACCTCACCTCTCCATTACATTTCTTATCTCCAGTGTTGATCATCTGTATTTCAACTGAAGATGCCTGGTAAGGATGGGGCACTCTTTTTTGAAAAGAAAGATGCCTAACTGCTGCACGTTTGTCTTATTCATCTATGATACTGTGACTGGAACAATACACAAATAACCCGCATGTAGGAGAGAGAGAAAATCTTACGACATCGTTTCGGTCCAACTTTTCTCTCTCCTATGTATGGGTTATTTGTGTGTTCATCTGGTCTGTGCTGCACACCAATAATGGAGTCAAAAATACTGTCATTTAATTCCTGCCATTTTCTTATAACTGCACATGCAGTCCTAAATTTCTGAGATATATCTGGAGTTTCTGGAGTTTATCTGGAGAGAGTTCCGGGGGTCAACGCCCCCGCGGCCCGGTCTGTGACCAGGCCTCCTTAGGTCAGTGTCCCAGGATGCGACCCACACCAGTCGACTAACACCCAGGTACCCATTTTACTGATGGGGAACATAGACAACAGGTGGAAAGAAACACGTCCAATGTTTCTACTCTGGCTGGGAATCGAACCCAGGCCCTCACCGTGTGAAGCGAGAGCGTTAACCACCAGGCCACCAGGCCTGGCTTCAATTCTTCCCGTGTACAGTTTCCCACATGTCAAACAGGTATAGCGGAGGCGAGTTGTAGGAGGAACTGAACGCTTCTTCCGTCTAGGTAACTCAAGAAATGCCACATTCCCGGCCAATAAAGAGTACTGCACGCCTTGTACGCCTTGTGGTTAAAAATACTATTATCAAAATTATCTCTTTTCTTAACTATTACAAGCTTTGTGTTCTCAAAAATACCATCATTAACATTATTTTCTTTACTATTATAAGCTTTCAAAAAATTAAGATCAGTTAACTAGTGCAGTAGCTTACCTTTTCTAACATGTTAACAGGTGAAGCAGCAGGTGGTGGAGGTTGATTTGTGGCTGCTGCTGCAGATCTGGCCGGCCCACCTCTCGAGCCTCTGCCTTTGCTACGACTTCCTCTTCTTCCCCGGCGGCTTCTGCCTCGGCCTGGTTTAACTGGTGTCAGCTCATGAGGAACGTCAAACTGAGGGGTCTGTGTATTTGTGAGAGGTGGTGTGTATGAGGCAGTCTCGGTGGGTGTAGGCTGGGTAGTCAGAGTCTCCATAGGTAAACTGGGTTCTCCGCTAGTCTCTGAAGCTTGAGTGCCTGGGGTAGGGCTTAGAACTGACTTATTTACTTCACCCCCATCATCTGTTATGGTCTTGAAAGAATCTGATAATGTTTTAATAGCAGAATAAGACTGCTTAAGGTCACTTTGGAGTTCTTGACGATGATCAGGAAATTTTTTATAATGGGCTTCAATTCTTCCCATGTACAGTTTCCCACATGTCAAACAGGTATAGCGGAGGCGAGTTGTAGGAGGAACTGAACGCTTCTTCCGTCTAGGTAACTCAACTGCTGGAAAAAATGCACCAATATTAAATACAGGTAAGGTACCTAGGGATTGGCAGAGAGCATGCATAGTTCCTTTGTATAAAGGCAAAGGGGACAAAAGAGAGTGCAAAAATTATAGGGGGATAAGTCTGTTGAGTATACCTGGTAAAGTGTATGGTAGAGTTATTATTGAAAAAATTAAAAGTAAGACTGAGAATAGGATAGCAGATGAACAAGGAGGCTTTAGGAAAGGTAGGGGGTGTGTGGACCAGGTGTTTACAGTGAAACATAAAAGTGAACAGTATTTAGTTAAGGTTAAAGAGGTCTTTGTGGCATTTATAGATTTGGAAAAGGCGTATGACAGGGTGGATAGGGGATCAATGTGGCAGATGTTGCAGGTGTATGGTGTAGGAGGTAGGTTACTGAAAGCAGTGAAGAGTTTTTATGAGGATAGTGAGGCTCAAGTTAGAGTACATAGGAAAGAGGGAAATTATTTCCCAGTAAAAGTAGGCCTTAGACAGGGATGTGTGATGTCACCGTGGTTGTTTAATATATTTATAGATGGGGTTGTAAGAGAAGTAAATGCGAGGGTTTTGACAAGAGGCGTGGAGTTAAAAGATAAGGAATCACACATAAAGTGGGAGTTGTCACAGTTGCTCTTTGCTGATGACACTGTGCTCTTGGGAGATTCTGAAGAGAAGTTGCAGAGATTGGTGGATGAATTTGGTAGGGTGTGCAAAAGAAGAAAATTAAAAGTGAATACAGGAAAGAGTAAGGTTATGAGGATAACAAAAATATTAGGTGATGAAAGATTGGATATCAGATTGGAGGGAGAGAGTATGGAGGAGGTGAATGTATTCAGATATTTGGGAGTGGACGTGTCAGCGGATGGGTCTATGAAGGATGAGGTGAATCATAGAATTGATGAGGGGAAAAGGGTGAGTGGTGCACTTAGGAGTCTGTGGAGACAAAGAACTTTGTCCTTGGAGGCAAAGAGGGGAATGTATGAGAGTATAGTTTTACCAACGCTCTTATATGGGTGTGAAGCATGGGTGATGAATGTTGCAGCGAGGAGAAGGCTGGAGGCAGTGGAGATGTCATGTCTGAGGGCAATGTGTGGTGTGAATATAATGCAGAGAATTCGTAGTTTGGAAGTTAGGAGGAGGTGCGGGATTACCAAAACTGTTGTCCAGAGGGCTGAGGAAGGGTTGTTGAGGTGGTTCGGACATGTAGAGAGAATGGAGCGAAACAGAATGACTTCAAGAGTGTATCAGTCTGTAGTGGAAGGAAGGCGGGGTAGGGGTCGGCCTAGGAAAGGTTGGAGGGAGGGGTAAAGGAGGTTTTGTGTGCGAGGGGCTTGGACTTCCAGCAGGCGTGCGTGAGCGTGTTTGATAGGAGTGAATGGAGACGAATGGTTTTTAATACTTGACGTGCTGTTGGAGTGTGAGCAAAGTAACATTTATGAAGGGGTTCAGGGAAACCGGCAGGCCAGACTTGAGTCCTGGAGATGGGAAGTACAGTGCCTGCACTCTGAAGGAGGGGTGTTAATGTTGCAGTTTAAAAACTGTAGTGTAAAGCACCCTTCTGGCAAGACAGTAATGGAGTGAATGATAGTGAAAGTTTTTCTTTTTCGGGCCACCCTGCCTTGGTGGGAATCGGCCAGTGTGATAATAAAATAATAATAACATTTTCCCCACATATAAGGCACGACTTCTTTGCCACAAAAAGTCTCAGAAAATCAGTGTGTGTGTGTGTGTGTGTGTGTGTGTGTGTGTGTGTGTGTGTGTGTGTGTGTCTTATATGCTAAAAATCAGAAACAGAGGTAGACTGAGTTACTTACAAGTGGTGATTTCAGTGCTGCAGTACTCGTAAACTGAACTTCTAACAACCTCCGTAAAAACTTCTAACCTCCCTGAAAACTTTCAACAACCTCCTTGAAATCTTCTAACCTCCCTGAAATCTTCAAATAACCTCCCTACAAACTTCTACCAGACTTCCTAAAAAATTGTTTCCCAGATTACTTCAGTGACAGCAGTAGCTATCATAAATTATAATTTACATATTACAGGTACCAAGAGGTAGTAGGTTGGTAGACAGCAACCACCCAGGGAGGTACTACCATCCTGTGGTAGTAGGTTGGTAGACAGCAACCACCCAGGGAGGAACTACTGTCCTGTGGTAGTAGGTTGGTAGACAGCAACCACCCAGGGAGGTACTACCATCCTGTGGTAGTAGGTTGGTAGACAGCAACCACCCAGGGAGGTACTACCATCATGTGGTAGTAGGTTGGTAGACAGCAACCACCCAGGGAGGTACTACCATCATGTGGTAGTAGGTTGGTAGACAGCAACCACCCAGGGAGGTACTACCATCCTGTGGTAGTAGGTTGGTAGACAGCAACCACCCAGGGAGGTACTACCATCCTGTGGTAGTAGGTTGGTAGACAGCAACCACCCAGGGAGGTACTACCATCCTGTGGTAGTAGGTTGGTAGACAGCAACCACCCAGGGAGGTACTACCGTCCTGTGGTAATAGGTTGGTAAACAGCAACCGCCCAGGGAGGTACTACCGTCCTGCCAAGTGAGTGTAAAACGGAAACCTGTAATTGTTTTACATGATGGTAGGATTGCTGGTGTCTTTTGTCTGTCTCATAAACATGCAAGATTTCAGGTATGTCTTGCTACTTCTACTTACACTTAGGTCACACTACACATGCATGTACAAGCATCAATATATATATATACACACCCCTCTGGGTTTTCTTCTATTTTCCTACTAGTTCTTGTTCTTGTTTATTTCCTCATATCTCCATGGGAAAGTGGGATAGAATTCTTCCTCTGTAAGCCATGCATGTCATAAGAGGTGACTTAAATGCCGGGAGCAAGGGCCTAGTAACCCCTTCTCCTGTATACATTACTAAAGTTAAAAAGAGAAGCTTTTGTTTTTTCTTTTTGGGCCACCCTGCCTTGGTGGGATATGGTCGGTTTGTTGAAAGACGACGACGACGACGACGAACACAAGAAAGAAGGAACACTGCAACAGGCCTACTGGCTCATGCGAGGCAAGTCCAAGTCACCTCCCAGCTAAAACCAATAACCCACATAGTCAGGTCAGGTCACATCCACTTATGGAAGAGGTACAGCATCAGACCTATTAGCACAAGCTAGTCAGGTCCAACTTACACCCACCCACACTCACTTATGTATTTATCTAACCTATTTTTAAAACTTCTAGGTAGTAGGTTGGTAGACAGCAACCACCCAGGGAGGTACTACCGTCCTGCCAAGTGAATATACAACAGAAGCCTGTAATTGTTTTACATGATGGTAGGATTGCTGGTGTCTTTTTTCTGTCTCATAAACATGCAAGATTTCAGGTACATCTTGCTACTTCTACTTACACTTAGGTCACACTACACATACATGTACAAACATATATACACACCCCTCTGAGTTTTCTTCTATTTTCTTTCTAGTTCTTGTTCTTGTTTATTTCCTCTTATCTCTATGGGGAAGTGGAACAGAATTCTTCCTCCGTAAGCCATGCGTGTTGTAAGAGGCGACTAAAATGCCGGGAGCAAGGGGCTAGTAACCCCTTCTCCCGTATAAATTACTAAATTTAAAAAGAGAAACTTTTGTTTTTCTTTTTGGGCCACCCTGCCTTGATGGGATACGGTCAGTTTGTTAAAAGAAGATTACAGGTACCATCTATAAATAACAGGTAGTGCAAGCCGGGGCTTGGTGGATGAAGACAGATTTTCTCCATTAAACTTGTCGATTTTCTAAACTATTGATCACATCTGGCAGACACTGCAACATCATGGGATCTTGATACAAGAAATTCTTCAACACGTGTCCAACCTTCGGACGAAGACCTACTTACACTAGTGGATGGTTCCACTGTGATTTCTGCCTCCTCCTTGACCCTATGTACTTTCTTCAAGACTGATGGTCTAAACACATCGATTCCAGGCTGAGGGACTGATTATCTCAAATTCCTCCTCTATTTCCACTCTTCTTCTTTGTATTGGACTGATAAAGCCACTGGCTGGTAAAACATTTCCTAAATAAAGATTTCAAATGCTGTACAAGTGTCTCAGTCTTCATTAATCCTGTGAGGGTTTAGAGGCCAAATCTCAGAGTGACACTCAAGGTCCAAGAATTTTCAAAAACATTTTTGTGATTTTTGTCTTATGAAATACAGTGGACCCCCGGTATTCGATATTAATCCGTTCCTGAGAGCTCATCGAATACCAATAATATCGAAAACTGAATCAATTTTCCTCATAAGAAATAATGGAAATCAAATTAATCCGTGCAAGACACCCAAAAGTATGAAAAAAAAAATGTTACTACATGAAATATTAAGTTTAATGCAAGAGAATAATTACAATAACAATAAAATAATTGACACTTACCTTTAATGAAGATCTGGTGATGATTGATGGGATGGGAGGAGGGGAGAGGTGTTAATGTTTAGAAGGGGAATCCCCTTCCATTAGGACTTGAGGTAGCAAGTCCTTTTCTGGGGCTACTTCCCTTCTTTTAATGCCACTAGGACCAGCTTCAGAGTCACTGGACTTTTGTCACACAACATATCTGTCCATAGAGGTCTGTACCTCTCGTTCCTTTATGACTTTCCTAAAGTGTTTCACAACATTGTCAGTGTAATAGTCACCAGCACGGCTTGCAATAGCTGTGTTAGGGTGATTTTCATCCATAAAGGTTTGCACTTCAACTCACTGTGCACACATTTCCTTAATTTTTGAAGTAGGCACAATGGATTCCACAACTGGCATAGGCTTCTCAGGGTTAGCCCCAAACCCTTCAAAATCTTTCTTAATTTCCATACTAATCCTCACCCTTTTTACCACAGGGTTGGCACTAGAAGCTTTCTTGGGGCCTATGGTGACTTATTTTGCAGAAACAAGCATCAAACACAGTGATAATATGGATAATATGGAATGTACTGAATGTATCCTTAGATGCACGCACACTGGCTGGCTTGTAAACACTGGCACACAAGGGGCAGTTCAGACCACATGTGGACAGGTCTCGTACGAATTGTATCGAATACCGAGGAAATTTTTTTTGCGATATAATGCATCGAATACCGGATTTATCGAATACCGATGCCATCGAATACCGGGGGTCCACTGTAGTAGAGAATCCTTTTCTGAAGGTAATAAAACAAAAAGTATGAAATTTGATGGAAAACTGACAAAATTATGCTCTTGCCAATTTTGCTGCGTCAGCGATATTTGTACATCGTCGATTTTGCCAAATCGACTCCTATTTTAGGCCAATTACATTATTCCAGTCGACCAAATTCTTAGCTATTTCGCTAGTATTACTTCTATTTTATTGATTGAGCACAAGAAATCGCCAAGTCAACTATTTCAACTACCCAGTAAAATGATCGGAAATTGGTAATCTGGCCAATTTAACGCAAAGTTCAAAATATTCCAATTTCAAAACAGGGTCCAGAATAAACAATGCAGACATTCCTGGCACTAAACTAACATTTCCTCTGTTCATTAGTTATGTTTTCAGGCTTTACAAATTAATTCCATTTTGATTTTTTATTCATACCAAAAAATAGAGGATTTACTGTTATGCAATGTTGTAATAATTGTATAAATAATATCAGCACATTGTGAATGTATATTAGACCCACCAGCTGACGCATATCAGACTTGTGACGTCATTTGTTTACTCTTGAACATCGGCTAAAAATTTAGCATTTCTGCTACTTTGAGCTCAGTTTCAAGCTATTTCCAGTATAAAACCAATCAAAATCATCTCTATTTTTGTAATATATCTTTCATTCTATCAAATGAGACCAAGAAATCATGAATACAACTATAAAAACATTGGAAAAAACACCACAAAGTCACTGTTTTAATCTAGAATTACAGTCGGAGTTTTTTCTCTCATGCACTGTGTGCTGCAGGATTTGTTTTATGTGGTACACATTTACCATACAGATGTATTCTCTCATATCTAGGCCCAAATTTACCACTCACAGGTTATCTGAGTGAACTAAGCTCATGGTGTAGATCTATGGCTTGGACCCCGGCTTCAAAGCCGTAGATCTACAGGAGAGACATCCTTGTGGCTTAGCGCTTCTTTTTTGATTATAATAATAATAATACAGGAGAGACCTTGAAATGGTTAAACTGTTTAACTTACACTATTTGTTTCATTAAGAGGGGCATGACGTAGCATACAAAGCAGTATCAAAATCTAAGGACGAATATGATTACCGGATTACCACCATCACCACGTTTGATGGTGCTTATGTTGGCAGTGATGGATTAACGAAATCTACCTAACACTCACTTTCAATCGCCAGGCCTAGAAAGTACTTCATTTTTTTCCCAGAATATACCTGCCAAAATTGGGATGCCTCATTTTTTTTTTTTTCAACAAGTCGGCCGTCTCCCACCGAAGCAGGGTGACCCTAAAAGAAAGAAAATCCCCAAAAAGAAAATACTTTCATCATCATTCAACACTTTCACCTCATATACCAGAAAATACAATATACATCTCACAAAAGAAGTGACTAATTATCTAGCTAAATAAAGGAAAACTAAAAATAACAAAGAATAGACAAAGAATTGCTAATTACTTGTGTTTGGAATGCACTCAACTTTACTCCAATAGCTTTGAATCTAAACAAGAAACATGGCAAAAGGATCTATACTATACTAGAAAAAAGTTAGTACAAATGGCACACTAGTGTACTAATACTCAAGGTATCCTCACAGCAGTACAAATGTACAAATACTCAAAGACGTCCTCATGGGTAGTACACCAGTGACCTAAATTGCAAGTAACATGTACCTATATTACACCCAAAAATTCCCTAAATTCATAGTTATCATGTAACCGAAGTAGAAATACTGTATGTTAACCCGTAAACGGTCCAAGCAGATCTACGTTCACATGTGTAGCGCTACAAAAGTAGATCTACGTTTTTTTTACATATTTTCAATAACAAAAAAAAGTAGATCAAGTTTTTTTTACACATTTTCAAATGTAAAAAAACAAAAAGAAGATCTACTTTTTTTTACATCCTTTCAAATGTTGAAAAAACGTATATATACGTTTGGACCGTTTACGGGTTAATATATGCTGAAACATTAGTGTATGGAGAGAATTTTGTTCTTAATGCACTGGCTGTCTCCCACAGAGGCAGGGTGACCTAAAAAGAAAAATATAAGCTTTTCTTTTTGTTTTGTAGTTTATACAGAAGGGGTTACTAGCCTCCGTTGCTCCTGGCATTTTAGTTGCCTTTTATGGCACACAACTTAGGGAGAATTGTGTAATTACGGAGAATGGTGCAACTGCCCTTCGTTATATACTAAATACTTTTTTTTTATCACACTGGCCGTCTCCCACCAAGGCAGGGTGACCTGTCAAAGAAATGCTTTCGCCATCATTCACACTATCACTGTCTTGCCAGAGGCATGCAGCTACTAATTAATTACTGCACCTGGCTCGGGTAGTTTGTCGTCAGGGTCAATGTGATGGTGGTCATCATAGTCCGAGTAGCCAACACCGGGGGAGTCCTTGTCTTTATTGTCGTTCTTGAAATTAATAGGATGAAGGTGCTTGAAATCCTTCATCATATGACGAGGTGGTCTTGATATACGACCCGAGCGAGTGCGATTAATTTGTTTGTTTCTCTCTTCGGTTTCATCCTAGGAAGAAATGAAGCTTGTAGAATATTTATATAAAAAATAACTAATTAAAAATCTGAGGCTAGACATTTAGAAACATTTCACTGGGTAACTTTCTCATTTGTTTTACTGGGCAGTAAAGTATATATACCAGTATTTCCTCTCTACTATAGAATACAGTGGACCCTCGACCAACGATGGCATCGTCTAACATTAAATCCGACTAGCGATACATTTTAAAGCAAAAATTTTGTCTCGACTAGCACTAAAAAACTCGACCAACACGATTTGTTCCGTCTGACGCGTCCACTTGTGGCCAGTGTTTACAAGCCAGCCAGTCACCGCGGTCCCATCCAAACATACAATCGGAACATTTCATATTATCACAGCGTTTTTAGTGATTGCACCTGCAAAATAAGTCACCATGGGCCCCAAAAAAGCTTCTAGTGCCAACCCTACAGCAAAAAGGGTGAGAATTACTATGGATATGAAGAAAGAGATCATTGCTAAATATGAAAGTGGAGTGTGTGTCTCCGAGCTGGCCAGGTTGTACACAAAACCCCTATCAACCATCGCTACTAATGTGGCCAAGAAAACGGCAATCAAGGAAGCTGTTCTTGCCAAAGGTGCAACTATGTTTTCGAAACTGAGATCGCAACTGATAGAAGATGTTGAGAGACTGTTATTGGTGTGGATAAATGAAAAACAGGTAGCAGGAGATAGCATCTCTCAAGCGATCATATGTGAAAAGGCTAGGAAGTTGCATGAGGATTTAATTAGAAAAATGCCAGCAACTAGTGGTGATGTGAGTGAATTTAAGGCCAGCAAAGGTTGGTTTGAGAGATTTAAGAATCGTAGTGGCATACATAGTGTGATAACCTTTTTTGATGGAAATCACCCTGACGCAGCTACTGCAAGCTGTGTTGGCAACCTGTACACTGACAATGTTGTGAAACACTTTAGGAAAGTCATAAAGGAATGGGAGGTACAGGCCTCTATGGACAGATATGTTGTGCGACAGAGGTCCAGTGACTCAAGCTGGTCCTAGTGGCATTAAAAGAAGAAAGGAAGTAACCCCGGAAAAGGACTCGACACCTCAAGTCCTAATGGAAGGGGATTCCCTTCTAAACACTAACACCATCCATACTCTCCCCTCCTCCCATCCCATCAATCATCACCAGATCTTCAATAAAGGTAAGTGTCATGTAATTGTTCATGTCTTCTTCAGTTTGTGTGTATTAAAATTAATATTTCATGTGGTAAAATTTTTTTTTTTTCAATACTTTGGGGTGTCAGGAACGGATTAATTTGATTTCCATTATTCCTTATGGGGAAAATTAACTCGACTAACAATAATTTTGACTAACAATGAGCTCTCAGGAACGGATTAATATCGTTGGTCGAGGGTCCACTGTATTTGTTTAAAAGGGCACTCAGTCCTTTAGCCTAGAGTCCGTGTGCTCAGTCCAGGCTGGGGGACTGATTACCTCAAACTCCTCACCTTCCAACTTCATCTGCATAGGACCGAAGAAGCTACTGATTGGTGAAACATTTCCAGGAAAAAGATACCCAAATGTTGCACAAGTGTCTCATGTATAATGATTTACTGTAACATACAGATGCTCCTCGACTTATGATGGGGTTACGTTCCAACGAACCATCGTAAGCTGAATATGAATACAGTATATACTAAATAAATAAGTACAGTGGTACCTGTATATACGTAAATAACTACTGACGCTGAATAAGTAAATAAACAAATAATTACTGTAACTGAATAGATGTACTGACAAGTAAATAAATGAATACAAGTTTATTCTATAAACCCCTTCTCCTGTATAAATTACTAAATTTAAGAAGAGAAACTTTTGTTTTTCTTTTCAGGCCACCCCGCCTCGGTGGGATACAGCTGGTTTATTGAAAGAAATTTATCCTATCAATAAATGAACAGTACTGAATGAGGTTCGCCATAGCACAATCATAAAATCGAAATATCCTGAGTCGAATATGAATATACAATAAATAAATATTGAAATAAGTAAATAAACAAATAATTACTGTAATGAACTAAAGACCACTATCGAAAAGTAAACGAATAAGTACTTACTAGTTTATTAAAAAAATGGTTTACAGTAAATCGCACCATTGTAAAGTGGAAATATCTTAAGTCAAACCATCGTAAGTCAAGGAGCATATACTACTCTGAGTCCTAAGTTGACCACAATGGGTAAACCAAAACGCAGTCTGGTTTTATTTGTATGTGAAGGCATATGATACGTTGCTGCAATGGTGTTACGACTTGTATTCTTCCTGTAGTGGTGATGACAATGTTAAGCATGTAGGAATGCACCCTTTATTTTGCATTAAGAACAAAAACATTGAAGACCAATAATAAAAAAAATTATGGAATATAATAAATACGCAATAAGATCACAGTAAACAGGTGATATCACAATATGCAAAACAACCACTGTGAAAAAAGTGAACTTCAAAGTGCTTACATGATTTCTCACATTATTTTTTTCAAAGTGGTTGTCTTGCAAAATTTCTGAGAAGAAAGTTTATCTGAACCATACCAACATTTCAATATCGACCAATTAAAGAAGAAATTGTGGAATATAATAAATGTGTCGCAGTTTCTGAGAAGACAGTTCGTCTGAACCGTACCAGCATTTCAATATCGACCTCCTCCTCCTCTTCATTCAGCTTCACTTTCTTCCACTCCTTCGACTTTCTCCCTTTTTTCTTGTCGTTCAGCAACCCCAATCTGCCCTCCCAGGTGAGATTCCCATCCTTGCTCTCCTCGTCGTCCTCGTCGTCATCGTCCACTTCCATGATGTCCTCGGGGAAGACAACCTGAAACCATGATGCCACTTAAAAAGACACATTCAACTCGCTTGGGCATACAGTATAGAAGAAAGGAATGTATGCATGAGACAGGAGACCAGGAGAGAGGGAAGGAGGAAGACTAGGAGAAAGAGGGAGGAAGACCAGGAGAGAGGGAGGAAGGAAGACCAGGAGAGAGGGAGGAAGGAAGACCAGGAGAGAGGGAGGAAAGAAGATCAGGAGAGAGGGAGGAAAACCAGGAGGAATGGAAACTGATAAGAAGGAATAGTGAAGACAGTACACAGAGGTGGATGAGCAGCAGCATAAGAAAACAGGCAGTGAGAAATACAAGGTACTACTAACATATACTAATTAAAAAAAACACAATATGCAGCTGAATTCACCTAAGTAAAAAAGTTACATTAAATAACAAAAGAATAAGTAACTACATAGATAAGTCCGACTTTGATAGTAGAAAGGCATACAAGCAACAAAAGAGACATGGAATTATGTATAATAAACACAGGAGAAACACATAAAGGATACACAATACCTTATAGACTATTTTCATATTAGTCTTGGGATCATATATCTCGTGATGGTCGTGGTGGGTGGTGGGGGGAGCAGTGATGCGACGCTGCTGCAACAATGTTGTGATCTGTTCTAGTTGTCTCTCCTGAACGGGTTGCAAAGCCTGAAACGTGTTGCCCTACGACAAAAAAAAAAATAAAAAATTAATAAATCTTTGCTTTTGTGCATATGTAGGATCATCCAATGAAAGTAATTCTGTAACACAGAGACAAGACTCAATGTGTGAGCTGAGTGAGCTACCAACCCAGCTATGGGACACCCCAAAGTGAACCCTACCAGAGTACAGTAGCACAGGTACAACATCAATTTTCCGGCCGCTGATGGTCCAGAATCATGTACATTTACAAGCAGGAACCTGAAATTCCCATGGCAGTGTATTTAGCACCAAACTGTACGTCACTTATTCAACCCCAAGACCAAGGAATACTGTGCTTTCTAAAGGCGGAAAAATCAGTAATCCGGAAAGGCTTTGGAACCAAAGGTCTGGAAAGTTGATATACCTGTACGAACAATTTTATAAGCATGAGACATGGGTTTCAAGCATTGCAGGAAGGAGGAGGCAGGTGGAGAAATCATGTTGGCGAGCAGTGTGTGGGTATGTAGTGTAAATATTATGCTGAGATCTCAAAATGCAAAAATTTTGTGCTGTGGTTTACCAGAATGAATTCACGTAACTTACCTGCTGCACAAGCTGTATCGGGTTCTCACTGGAGCCAAGAGGCTTGGTATTGTCTCCACCTGGCAGATGTACGGTGAATGGAGTTTCATCTCCTACTGATGAACAATACACTATAGATGTCAAGCTGGGAGAGTCTGAATTTGACTGATTAAGGCTGTTTAATGCTTCTGTAGCCTCTGTAAGGAAATATAGATCAAAGAGCACACTTCAGAAGGAAGGAACGCAAATGGATACACGAATAACTCGCACATAAGGGTCTCCTATGTGCAAGTGTGCCTTTTCATTCTTTAATACAAATAGATTATATGTAAATTACCAAAATGTTACAAGTAAATGATTAAGGAAATAATTTTTTTTTACTGACACATTGGCCATTTCCCACCAAAGCAGGGTGACCTAAAAAAAAAAACACTTTCATCATCACTCACTCTATCACTGTCTTGTCAAAGGAACACGGGTACGACAGTTTGGATGTCCCTCTAAAACAGCAAATATTCCAAACCCCTCCTTTAAAGAGCAGGCATTGTAAGACATATTGCAATAGAGATTAAGTGATTTACAAGTGCAATTTACACGGTGGAAATTGGTTGTAGTTTCAGAATTCTGTTATGTCAAGGTCTCTTATCAGATTTATTATACACAGTATATACTGTATATCATTTTCAATAAATGTTTACACAAATAATCCCACATATGCAAGGGAAGCTTATAATAACAAAAAAAGGCACAATACCATGACTGGAACGATACACAAATAACCCGCACATAAAAAGAGAGAAGCTTACGACGACATTTCAGTCGTCCTGCTCCACTTCTGGTTAGTGTGACTTTGTAAATGGTCCAAGTCGGACCGAAACGTCGTCGTAAGCTTCTCTCTTTTATATGCGGGTTATCTGTGAAGCTTATAATGTTTAGATTCAACTTGAATAATTTGTAAGTGACAGTAATACAAGAGAGTGAAGGAGCCAGTATACATGTATATGGGTGAGGGGACACAGGGATAGGACCAAGAGAGGAAGAACAAGTAGTAGTGGTAATGTTTGTAATGGTAGTAGTAGTAGTAGTAGAAGTAGTAATGGTAGTAGAAAGTAAAGAGAGAGTAGTTTAGTGGCACAAGAGATAGAAATGGCAGTGAAAGGAGGCAATAGTAGTGGTAGTAGCAATAGTAGTAGTAATGTAGTGGCAATCTTGCTACATTTATCACTGACAACATAAAGAATAACAAGACACAATACCGTGACTGGAACAATACACCAATAACCGGCACATAGCAGGAGATACTTATTACAACGTTTTGGTACAACCTGGACCGTTTACTAGTTAAATGAATGTCTAGTTAATGGTCCTAGTAGGCCCAAAACATCATCATAATTTTCATTCTCCTATGTCCTGGGTATTTATGTATCACTGACTATTACTTAGCACAGATATTTATATTGACTAAAGAGATAAACACATGAGTGGATAGGACCTCAAATAAAGAACACAAAATAGGCCTAAATCTTAAAAAAAATGTACTAGGGTAGAATTTAGATTGGACTCTGACTCTTAATTTAAGGATTTATACGTACAGGTGCTCTTCGACTTACAATGGGTTTATGTTCTGACAAACCCATCATAAATATCATAAGCTAAATATGAATATGATAAATAAATAAGTATATAAATGTTACTGAATAAGTAAATAAATAACTGATGCAACTAAATACCAGTATTGAAAGTAATAAAGCAACACAAGTTACGAACTTTCCACCGTCATGCTGGGTAATTATCTTAAGTCTCATCTTCAAAGTAGGTAAGACACATATGCAACAGTTAGGTATCTTTATTTCGAAATAAAGATACCTAACTGTTGCATATGTGTCTTACCTAACAATCTGTCGGTATTTTATACCATTTTAATGTTCATCTTCAAAGTAATTGCTTTTGCACCAACATTAAGTCAAAATATCATAAGTCGAAACATCGTAAGTCGAGAAACACCTTTACAGTGTTTTTCTTAACCAATTATCATACCTGCACACTTGATGGAGGGAACGGGTGTAGTGGATGGAACTGCGGTTTGGAGTTTGGAGGTAGTAGCACAAATAGGCCCAGTGCTAACTTTAATGGTTAGAGGTCGGTCACCACACGATGTTGATACTTGGTGTAGCTTAGCTGTAGCATCACGGTGCAGAAGGGAGGCAGAGGAGGGAAGATGTGACATGTGGAATGGTATATCTTTTATATTCAATTGGGATGACACCTTTTTTCCAGTCATAAATGGTGACCGAGTCAACAGATGGTTACCGGAACCCAAGGTGAACTCACTAGATGAAGCCAGTACCAACGGCTGAGGTGATGCAGTTGCTGTGCCTGATAGCCCTGCTATCGATGTATTGAAAGTACTGGATGACTCCACTATTTCTATATCAGGACTTTCTTGCAACACTTCACAGTCTTCGTGAACTGGCTTTGTATCCAAGAATGAAGTTAAATTCCTAAATTTTGTCCTCTTGGCTATATCTCTAAGGTAAATACTTCCAGGAACTTTAGGGGCTGATTTTGAAGATGCAGTCTTCCAGTCAGTGTGCTTAGCCTTTATTATGTGCCTTGGATGGGTGAGTACTATTTACAGGCAAACTTATTTTCTGTACATTCTGACCAGTATGCGGAAAGGAGAGTAAGCTTTTTCCATTACTCTCTCGAGCATGGTGAAGCTGAGAATCACTTAATGAAACGGAATTTGTACTGAGGGGTTCGGCAGCTGAAACTTCGCTTTTAACCTCAGGCTCTGACCCTCGTATCTGGAGCATTGAGATAGTGCCATCAGCATTATATTCGGGGATCAAGAGGAAGGGACCTAAACTAACATCTGCATCACCTGCTGAAACATCACAGGCATCATTCCCGCCTATCCCATCAGTTCCGTCCTCTCCCGTAAAAATTGACGTACAACTTCCATCTGAGCCTTCAGGGCTCCTTTCAACCTCTTTTAATTGGCTTGTTTGATCAGTTGGAAGGTGTGGATGACCAGCGGATAATTCCTCAACTTTCTCAGCTGGAGAGGTAACAGAGTGTTGCTCAGTAGCAACATTATTGTCCAGTAACTGAGGGAGGTTCAGCTTACAAGCTTCTTCAGGTGAGAGCTCGATTGTTTGAGTACTACCATCTTCACCTTGGATAATAGCTACTATTGTAGACATATTTCTTGAGTGAATATGACTGTCATTTGTCCCCACACCAACGTGCATTATCTGACCATGATCGACAGAAATATTTAAATTTTGTGCATCGACTTGAATATGGTTTGGAACTATAGGAAGTCTCACAAGATTCTGAAGGCTTTCTACTGAGCCTATCTCCTGACTACTGCCCTCTACCTGAGTGCGTAAAAGTTCATTGTTAGTTGCTAGTGCAAACACATCGCTCCCACAACTCTCCTCGCTAACATCGGCAAAATTAGAGTCTTTTGCAATCCCTCGTTGCACTGGCGCACTGTGAAATTGCAAGAAACCTCCCGATTCAACTGCATTTCCTTTCTCCGATCCATCGCCATTAGCAGTTTTTCCTGGAGAGAGTAAACCATACTCTACCTTCTGGTTTACAGGCTGACTTATTATTTTAGGTACACCTCCAGCTTTCTCCTGTGAAAGCATAAAACCTGGAACTTCTCTACCATTCACTCGAACTTGCACAAAGTTTGGTTTCAAACTTTCCTGCAGGTTCTCACTTTCTTCCAGTTTTGGAGATGAAAGTTGAGCATGCTTGGTGCCTGGCGGATCAAACAGTCCCTTTTCATCGTCTTGCGATGCGACACCTGCCGATCCTTCAAGTGACGTAGTGAGCGCTGCATTAGTCTGAATTAGTGAATCAGTTCCAGCACTTGTGAGAATCACTGGTTGTCCGTTCAGAAACAATAGCGTTTTATTCATCTTTTAAGTCAACTAAAAGATTTCTCATTTTCCTGAAAAAATAAATACCATTAGCAGCTAAACATCCAAAAACGATGTAGTGAGCACACAACCCGAAATGCCCTGGCATGATAGTGGCTTTCTTTGTATGTACAGTGGAACCTCAAATATAGAACTTTCTTCGGTCCAGAAAGCTGTTCAAGTGTCGCTACCGAACGAATTTATTCCAATCAGGAATAATGTAAATTAGATTAGTCCATTTCAGACCCTCAAAAATACACTTATAAAAGCACTTACAAAAATGCACTTACATAATTGGTTGAGTTGGGAGCAGTTCGATTTTTGAGGTTCCATTGTACTTAGCAAATCAAAATTGTAATTACACATTGTAAACTATGCAAAGAAATAAAACAGTCAATCCTTACTGGTAAGCTAACTTTAACGAGACTCATGAAATCGTAATGACACGATTGCAAACAAACCATACCACGGGTGGGGATAGAACCCGCGATCAGTGGCCAGTGGCTAACGTGACGGTCTGGAGTTTTGAGACTCTCTGATGAACACGGGTTCTATCCCCGCCTGTGGTATGGTAAGCTAACTTTAATTTTTAAGCAAATATACCTACATAAAATAGCCTGGTCTCAGACCAGGCCATGGGGGCGTTGACCCCCAAAACCCTCTCCAGGTATACACCAGGTAACCTTCAAGGGATTAAAAAGAAGTATGTACAGTGGACCCCCGGTTCGCTATGCTATCGGTATCCGATAAATCCGGTAACCGATGCATTATATCGCAGAAAATTTGCCTCGCTTCCCGATACAAAACCACGTGTGGCCTGAACTGCCCCGTGTGTGCCAGTGTTTACAAGCCAGCCAGTGTGCGCTCATCTAAAGATACATTCAGTTATTATTTATTATTTTATTATCACACTGGCTGATTCCCACCAAGGCAGGGTGGCCCGAAAAAGAAAAACTTTCACCATCATTCACTCCACTGTCTTGCCAGAAGGGTGCTTTACACTACAGTTTTTAAACTGCATTCAGTACATTCCATATTATCCATATTATCACTGTTTTTGGTGCCTGTTTTTGCAAAATAAGTCACCATGGGCCCCAAGAAAGCTCCCAGTGCCAACCCTTCGAGACCAAGGGTGCTAATGACTGTTATAATGAAGAAAGAGATAATTGCAAAGTACGAAAGTGGAGTGCGTGTGTCGGAGCTGGTCAAGTTGTATAGTAAACCCCAATCAACCATCAACGGCAATCAAGGAAGCTGTTCTTGCAAAAGGTGCAACTGTGATTATGAAACAGCGACCGCAAGTGTTAGAAAATGTTAAGAGACTGTTATTGGTGTGGATAAATGAAAAACAGATAGCAGGAGATAGCATCTCTCAAGCAATCATTTGTGAAAAGGCTAGGAAGTTGCACGACGATTTGGTAAAGAAATTGCCAGCAACTAGTGGTGATGTGAGTGAATTTAAGGCCAGCAAAGGTTGGTTTGAAAGATTTAAGAATCGTAGTGGCATACATAGTGTGATTAGGCATGGTGAGGCTGCCAGTTCGGACCTCAAAGTGGCTGAAAAAAATGTTCATGAATTCAAGGATACATAGAGGCTGAAGGATTGAAACCTGAACAAGTGTTTAATTGTGATGAAACAGGCTTGTTTTGGAAGAAATTACCAAGCAGGACCTACATTACTCAGGAGGAAAAGGCACTCCCAGGATCATAAGCCTATGAAAGACAGGCTTACTCTGTTATGTGTGCTAATGCTAGTGGTGATTGCAAAGTAAGCCTTTATTGGTGTATCACTCTGAAACTCCCAGAGCGTTCAGGCAAAACAAAATCCTCAAGGCTAATTTATGTGTGCTGTGGAGGGCAAACAGTAAGACATGGGTCACAAGGGACTTTTTCTATAACTGGTTACACCATGCATTTGCCCCTACTGTGAAAAATTACCTCCTGGAAAATAAATTGGACCTTAAGTGCCTCCTGGTATTAGACAATGCTCCTAGTCATCCTTCAGATGTGGCAGAGCGACTTTCTAGGGACATGAGCTTCATTAAGGTCAAGTTTTTGCCTCCTAATACCACTCCTCTCCTGCAGCCCATGGACCAGCAGGTTATTTCCAACTTCAAGAAACTGTACACAAAAGCTCTGTTTGAAAGGTGCTTTGTAGTGACCTCAGAAACTCAACTGACTCTAAGAGAGTTTTGGAGAGATCATTTTAATATCCTTAATTGTGTAAACATTATAGGTAAGGCTTGGGAGGAAGTGACTAAGAGGACCTTGAACTCTGCTTGGAAAAAACTGTGGCCAGAATGTGTAGACAAAAGGGATTTTGAAGGGTTTGAGGCTAACCCTGAGAATCCTATGCCAGTTGAGGAATCCATTGTGGCATTGGGGAAGTCCTTGGGGTTGGAGGTTAGTGGGGAGGATGTGGAAGAGTTGGTGGAGGAGGACAATGATGAACTAACCACTGATGAGCTGCTAGATCAACTTCAACAGCAAGAGGCCAGACCTGAGGAAACTGCTTCGGAGGAGGGGAGAGAGAAATTGAGGAAGTTGTCTACTTCAAAGATTAAGGAAATGTGTGCAATGTGGCTTAAAGTGCAAACCTTTATGGATGAGAATCACCCTAACACAGCTATTGCAAGCCGTGCTGGTGACTATTACACTGATAATGTTGTGAACCACTTTAGGAAAGTCATAAAGGAACGGGAGGTACAGACCTCTATGGACAGATATGTTGTGCGACACAAGTCCAGTGACTCTCAAGCTGGTCCTAGTGGCATTAAAAAAAATTCTGTCCTCCTCAAGGATCCTAGCCCTTTAATGGAGGGATTATCTGAAACGCAAGCAACAAATTTAACGGAGCTTCTACACTCATATCCTAATATTTTTTCGGATGTGCCGAAAAAATGTACGTAGTAGCCCCGGAAAAGGACTTGCTACCTCAAGTCCTAATGGAAGGGGATTCCCCTTCTAAACACTAACACCATCCATACTCTCCCGTCCTCCCGTTCCATCAATCATCACCAGATCTTCAATAAAGGTAAGTGTCAATTATTCTTTTGTTATTTGTTGTTATTGTAATTACTCTATTGCATTAAACTTAATATTTCACGTGGTAAAATTTTTTTTTTCATACTTTTGGGTGTCTTGCACGGATTAATTTGATTTCCATTATTTCTTATGGGGAAAATTGATTCGGTTTCCGATAATTTTGGTTTATGATGAGCTCTCAGGAACGGATTAATATCGCGAACCGGGGGTCCACTGTACTGAGTAATATATTATAATTAAAAAGAAGCACTAAACCCACTAGGGCCATATAGCGCTGACTGGGTCATATATACATACATAACATTTAAATGTGACTTTTCCATAATATAGAACTGTCATTTATAAGGAATTGGTAGATACAAAGATAACCTACCACGAGTGCTAGATCATCTTCAACAGCAGAGGCAGACCAGAGGAGAACTGCTCGGAGGAGGGAAGACAGAGAGAAATTGAGGAGTTGTCCTACTTCAAAGATTAAGGAAATGTGTTGCAATGTAGCTTAAAGTGCAAACCTTTATGGATGACAATCACCTGACACAGTATGCTAAGCCGTGCTGGTGATATTACACTGACAATGATTGTGAACACTTTAAGGAAAGTCATAAAAGGAACAGAGAGTACGGTATCTATGGACGATATGTGTGCGACAACAAAGTCCAGTGATATCAAGCTGGTCCTAAGTGCATTAAGAAAATTCTGTCCATCCTTCAAGGATCCTAGCCCTTTAATGAGGATTATCTGAAACGCAAGCAAACAAATTTAAACGGAGCTTCTACAGTCATATCCTAATATATTTTCGGTGCTCGAAAAAAGTATTACAGTAGTAGCCCCGGAGAAAGGACTTGCTACAATCAAGTCCTAATGAAGAGGATTCCTTCTAAACAGAGAACACCATCCATATCTCCGTCCTACCAATCCCACAATATCACCAGAATCTTCATAAAGGTAAGTGTCAATTAATTCTTTTGTTAGTTGTATTATTGTAATTACTCTATTGCATTAAACTTAAATAATTCATCAGTGGTTAAAAGTTTTTTTTTCATACTTTGGGTGTCTTGGACGAATTAATTTAGATTTCCATTATTTCTTATGGGGAAAATTGATTCGGTTTCCGATAATTTTGGTTTATGATGAGCTCTCAGGAATGGATTAATATCGCGAACCGGGGGTCCACTGTACTGAGTAATATATTATAATTAAAAAGAAGCACTAAACCCACTAGGGCCATATAGCGCTGACTGGGTCATATATACATACATAACATTTAAATGTGACTTTTCCATATATAGAACTGTCATTTATCAAGAGAATTATGTCACTTACAACAGAGATAAGTCACTTACAACAGAGATAAGTCACTTACAACAGAGATAAGTCACTTACAACAGAGAGATACAGTACACTTACAACAGAGATAAGTCACTTAAAACAGACATAAGTCACTTACAACAGAGGTAAGTCACTTACAACAGAGATAAGTCACTTACAACAGAGGTAAGTCACTTACAACAGAGATAAGTCACTTACAACAGAGATAAGTCACTTACAACAGAGATAAGTCACTTACAACAGAGATAAGTCACTTACAACAGAGGTAAGTCACTTACAACAGAGATAAGTCACTTACAACAGAGATAAGTCACTTACAACAGAGTAAGTCACTTACAACAGAGGTAAGTCACTTACAACAGAGGTAAGTCACTTACAACAGAGGTAAGTCACTTACAACAGAGGTAAGTCACTTACAATAGAGATAAGTCACTTACAACAGAGATAAGTCACTTACAACAGAGATAAGTCACTTACAACAGAGATAAGTCACTTACAACAGAGATAAGTCACTTACAACAGAGATAAGTCACTTACAACAGAGGTAAGTCACTTACAACAGAGGTAAGTCACTTACAACAGAGGTAAGTCCTTACAACAGAGATAAGTCACTTACAACAGAGGTAAGTCACTTACAACAGAGATAAGTCACTTACAACAGAGGTAAGTCACTTACAACAGAGGTAAGTCACTTACAACAGAGGTAAGTTGCTTACAACAGAGGTAAGTTGCTTACAACAGAGGTAAGTCACCCACAACAGGAAAAAAGTCACCTAAAACAGGAATAACCACCAACAGGAAACTCACTAACAAACAGTCACTTATCAACAGAATTAAGTCATTTACAACAGAAATAAGTCACCCACAACGGACACAAGTCACCCACAACAGAGACAAACCCCCCACAACAGAAGAAACCCACCTAAAACAGAGTAAAACAGACTTACAACAGAGAAAACAGGAATCACCAGACCACTACTGTTGTCATTTGTAACTCAGCGACCACGAGTATAAAATATTTTACCTCTAGTCTTTTTTTTCCCCCTTAATAACTTTTATTTAATATATCAAAAACACAAAAAAATAAACCTCTTGTGGTTGTGATAATTAAACCACGGTTAAAGTGGGTTTAAATGAGAGTTTAACTCACTTTTCGAAAATATTTTATACCCTTCTGACCTTTTTTGGGTCATAATTTAATTAATAATGTTTATTTCTTGCAGTACATGATACAACTTATACAGACCATAGCTCACACCTATGATGTATAGAAAGTTCCTGGTTATGTAGAGTATTTCCCACAACTTGGGTTAATTTTGTCCCCCAGGATGCCACCCACATCAGTCACCTAACACCCAGATACCTACTTACTGCTTGGTGAACACTGACAGCAGGTGTAAGGTAACTAACACCCAGGTACCTACTTACTGCTTGGTGAACACTGACAGCAGCTGTAAGGTGACTAACACCCAGGTACCTACTTACTGCTTGGTGAACACTGACAGCAGGTGTAAGGTAACTAACACCCAGGTACCTACTTACTGCTAGGTGAACACTGACAGCAGGTGTAAGTGACTAACACCCAGGTACCTACTTACTGCTAGGTGAACACTGACAGCAGGTGTAAGGTAACTAACACCCAGGTACCTACTTACTGCTAGGTGAACACTGACAGCAGGTGTAAGGTAACTAACACCCAGGTACCTACTTACTGCTAGGTGAACACTGACAGCAGGTGTAAGGTAACTAACACCCAGGTACCTACTTACTGCTAGGTGAACACTGACAGCAGGTGTAAGGTGACTAACACCCAGGTACCTACTTACTGCTAGGTGAACACTGACAGCAGGTGTAAGGTGACTAACACCCAGGTACCTACTTACTGCTAGGTGAACACTGACAGCAGGTGTAAGGTGACTAACACCCAGGTACCTACTTACTGCTAGGTGAACACTGACAGCAGGTGTAAGGTAACTAACACCCAGGTACCTACTTACTGCTACGTGAACACTGACAGCAGGTGTAAGGTGACTAACACCCAGGTACCTACTTACTGCTAGGTGAACACTGACAGCAGGTGTAAGGTGGCTAACACCCAGGTACCTACTTACTGCTAGGTGAACACTGACAGCAGGTGTAAGGTGGCTAACACCCAGGTACCTACTTACTGCTAGGTGAACACTGACAGCAGGTGTAAGGTGGCTAACACCCAGGTACCTACTTACTGCTACGTGAACACTGACAGCAGGTGTAAGGTGACTAACACCCAGGTACCTACTTACTGCTAGGTGAACACTGACAGCAGGTGTCTTAAGGGAACACGTCGTAATGTTTCCACTCGTACCGGGGATCGAAATCCGGACCTCAGTGTGTGAGCTGGGTGCGCCACCAACCCAGCCACGCGACACTATGTATGATAATTGTGTACCTGTGCCTAAATATACTTATTTGATTACTCATTACACAGTCACTGTTATGCCCTGTCTACCAGGGCCATGGTGGCCCCGTGGCCTGGTGGGTATAGCTCTCCCTTCACACGGCTAATGTCCGGGTTCGATTCCCAGCGAGGGTAGAAAATTGGGCGTGTTTCCTTAAGATACCTGCTGTCCATGTTCATCTAGTAGTAAGTAAGTACCTGGGTGTTAATCAACTGGTGTGGGTCGCATCCAGCACTCTGACGCAACACTGGTAACACCACCATGGTGTTCCAGTACTCTGATGCAACACTGGTAACACCACCATGGTGTTTCAGTACTCTGACGCAACACTGGTAACACCACCATGGTGTTCCAGTACTCTGACGCAACACTGGTAACACCACCATGGTGTTCCAGTACTCTGACACAACACAAGCAACACCACCATGGTGTTCCAGTACTCTGACACAACACAAGCAACACCACCATAGTGTTCCAGTACTCTGACAACACAAGCAACACCACCATGGTGTTCCAGTACTCTGACACAACACAAGCAACACCACCATGGTGTTCCAGTACTCTGACGCAACACTGGTAACACCACCATGTTGTTCCAGCACTCTGACACAGCACTGGTAACACCACCATGGTGTTCCAGTACTCTGAAGCAACACTGGTAACACCACCATGGTGTTCCAGTACTCTGACGCAACACTGGTAGCACCACCATGGTGTTCCAATACTCTGAAGCAACACTGGTAACACCACTATGGTGTTCCAGTACTGACACAACACAGGTAACACCACTATGGTGTTCCAGTACTCTGACACAACACAAGTAACACCACCATAGTGTTTCAGCACTCTGACACAACACAGGTAACACCACCATAGTGTTCCAGCACACTGACACAACACAGGTAACACCACTATGTGTTCCAGTACTCTGACAACACAAGCAACACCACCATGGTGTTCCAGTACCCTGACACAACACAGGTAACACCACCATGGTGTTCCAATACTCTGACACAACACAGGTAACACCACCATGGTGTTTCAGTACTCTGACACAACACAGGTAACACCACCATGGTGTTCCAGCACTCTGACACAACACAGGTAACACCACCATGGTGTTCCAGTACTCTGACACAGCACAGGTAACACCACCATAGTGTTCCAGCACTCTGACACAACACAGGTAACACCACCATAGTGTTCCAGTACTCTGACACAACACAGGTAACACCACCATGGTGCTCCAGTACTCTGACACAACACAAGCAACACCACCATGGTGTTCCAGTACTCTGACACAACACAAGCAACACCACCATAGTGTTCCAGTACTCTGACAACACAAGCAACACCACCATGGTGTTCCAGTACTCTGACACAACACAAGCAACACCACCATGGTGTTCCAGTACTCTGACACAACACAAGTAACACCACCATGGTGTTCTAGTACTCTGACACAACACAAGTAACACCACCATGGTGTTCCAGTACTCTGACACAACACAAGTAACACCACCATGGTGTTCCAGTACTCTGACACAACACAGGTAACACCACCATGGTGTTCCAGTACTCTGACACAACACAAGCAACACCACCATGGTGTTCCAGTACTCTTACACAACACAAGTAACACCACCATGGTGTTCCAGTACTCTGACACAACACAAGTAACACCACCATGGTGTTCCAGTACTCTGACACAACACAAGTAACACCACCATGGTGTTCCAGTACTCTGACACAACACAGGTAACACCACCATGGTGCTCCAGTACTCTGACACAACGCAAGCAACACCACCATGGTGTTCCAGTACTCTGACACAACACAAGCAACACCACCATGGTGTTCCAGTACTCTGACACAACACAGGTAACACCACCATGGTGCTCCAGTACTCTGACACAACGCAAGCAACACCACCATGGTGTTCCAGTACTCTGACACAACACAAGCAACACCACCATGGTGTTCCAGTACTCTGACACAACACAAGCAACACCACCATGGTGTTCCACGGAAGAATCAGTCCTGGAACACCATAACCAATAATATTGTATATTAAAAGGCTAATAAGAACACGTTTTACTGGTAAATTTATTGACAAGAATATTAAAAAAAAGTGAGAAGCCGACACACACACAGGAGGGTTTGGTGAGACATGATAACGACATAGAAAATACTGCGAGGAACTGACAAGGTGCACAGAGACAGGATGTTCCAGAGATTGGACACAGCAACAAGGGGACACAGTTGGAAGTTGAAAACTCAGATGAATCACAGGGATGTTAGGAAGTATTTCTTCAGCCACAGAGTAGTCAGGAAGTGGAATTGTCTGGGTAGTGATGTAGTGGAGGCAGGATCCATACATAGCTTTAAGACGAGGTATGATAAAGCTCATGGAGCAGGGAGAGAGAGGACCTAGTAGAGACTAGTGAAGAGGCGGGGGCCAGGAGCTATGAATCGACCCCTGCGACCACAAATAGGTGAGTACACACATACACAAGTCAATAAAGGCTAATATTGCAAGCTACACATCATCTTAATGGTAAGACCATTGTGGTAGGTGGTAATTGTGTGACAGTGTCTAACACCACCAGCACCACCACAAGCACCACAAGCACCGCCAGCACCACCAGCAACCCCCCCACATGCACCACCACCACCACCACCAGCACCACCACCACCACCAGCAAGCACTTTTTAAAGGGCTCCAAATCAAGGTTCTGTGCTGCAGGCTCGCTCCTCCGTCCTCACATCTGTGTAAAATAACATAAAATACTCACAGCTTGAAGATTAAAACCCATAGTCAACATCTGGATGTCTTTATTGATGACAAGTTGAGGGACTGATTGCACCAACTTGCTTTCATTACTGTTGCTGCCTCTATATCTGACTGAGGAAACCTTCTGTGTAGCCGAACTCTTCTCCAGGCTGAGGGACTGACCACCTTAAACACTTTTCCCCAAGGCTGAGGGACTGATTATGTAGGCGAAATGTTTGGTTAACAAAGGTACCCAGATGTTGTACATACGATCGATCATGTGACCAGATCTATCTGGGGTTCAATACCTTTGTACCTTGCTCAGCTGTCAAAACTTTCGGGCCAAGTTCCTTGAGCTATTATGTACCTCTGCAATGTTGAGGTACAGTCCCTGGACCCATTATGTATCTCTGTAATGTTGAGGTACAGTCCCTGGAGCCATTATGTACCTTTGTAATGTTGAGGTACAGTCCCTGGACCCATTATGTACCTCTGCAATGTTGAGGTACAGTCCCTGGAGCCATTATGTACCTTTGTAATGTTGAGGTACAGTCCCTGGAGCCATTATGTACCTCTAATGTTGAGCTACAGTCCCTGAACACATTATGTACCTCTGTAATGTTGAGGTACAGTCCCTAGACCCATTATGTACCTCTGTAATGTTGAGGTACAGTCCCTGGACCCATTATGTACCATTGTAATGTTGAGGTACAGTCCCTAGACCCATTATGTACCTCTGTAATGTTGAGCTACAGTCCCTGGACCCATTATGTACCTTTGTAATGTTGAGGTACAGTCCCTAGACCCATTATGTACCTCTGTAATGTTGAGGTACAGTCCCTAGACTCATTATGTACCTCTGTAATGTTGAGCTACAGTCCCTGGACCCATTATGTACCTCTGTAATGTTGAGGTACAGTCCCTGGATCCATTATGTACCTCTGTAATGTTGAGGTACAGTCCCTAGACCCATTATGTACCTCTGTAATGTTGAGCTACAGTCCCTGGAGCCATTATGTACCTCTGTAATGTTGAGGTACAGTCCCTGGAGCCATTATGTACCTCTGTAATGTTGAGCTACAGTCCCTGAACACATTATGTACCTCTGTAATGTTGAGGTACAGTCCCTAGACCCATTATGTACCTCTGTAATGTTGAGGTACAGTCCCTGGACCCATTATGTACCTTTGTAATGTTGAGGTACAGTCCCTAGACCCATTATGTACCTCTGTAATGTTGAGCTACAGTCCCTGGACCCATTATGTACCTTTGTAATGTTGAGCTACAGTCCCTGGACCCATTATGTACCTCTGTAATGTTGAGGTACAGTCCCTAGACCCATTATGTACCTCTGTAATGTTGAGCTACAGTCCCTGGACCCATTATGTACCTTTGTAATGTTGAGGTACAGTCCCTGGAGCCATTATGTACCTCTGTAATGTTGAGGTACAGTCCCTGGACCCATTATGTACCTCTGTAATGTTGAGGTACAGTCCCTGGATCCATTATGTACCTTTGTAATGTTGAGGTACAGTCCCTAGACCCATTATGTACCTCTGTAATGTTGAGCTACAGTCCCTGGAGCCATTATGTACCTCTGTAATGTTGAGGTACAGTCCCTGGAGCCATTATGTACCTCTGTAATGTTGAGCTACAGTCCCTGGAGCCATTGTGTACCTCTGTAATGTTGAGGTACAGTCCCTGGACCCATTATGTACCTTTGTAATGTTGAGGTACAGTCCCTGGACCCATTATGTACCTCTGTAATGTTGAGCTACAGTCCCTGGACCCATTATGTACCTCCCACAGGATGGTTATGGGCTGCATAATTAACATATTAACCTAACTTGCATACCTGGAGTTTACCTGGAGAGAGTTCCGGGGGTCAACGCCCCCGCGGCCCGGTCTGAGACCAGGCCTCCTGGTGGATCAGAGCCTGATCAACCAGGCTGTTGCTGCTGGCTGCACGCAAACCAACATACGAGCCACAGCCCGGCTGATCCGGAACTGACTTTAGGTGCTTGTCCAGTGCCAGCTTGAAGACTGCCAGGGGTCTGTTGGTAATCCCCCTTATGTGTGCTGGGAGGCAGTTGAACAGTCTCGGGCCCCTGACACTTATTGTATGGTCTCTTAACGTGCTAGTGACACCCCTGCTTTTCATTGGGGGGATGGTGCATCGTCTGCCAAGTCTTTTGCTTTCGTAGTGGGTGATTTTCGTGTGCAAGTTCGGTACTAGTCCCTCTAGGATTTTCCAGGTGTATATAATCATGTATCTCTCCCTCCTGCGTTCCAGGGAATACAGGTTTAGGAACCTCAAGCGCTCCCAATAATTGAGGTGTTTTATCTCCGTTATGCGCGCCGTGAAAGTTCTCTGTACATTTTCTAGGTCGGCAATTTCACCTGCCTTGAAAGGTGCTGTTAGTGTGCAGCAATATTCCAGCCTAGATAGAACAAGTGACCTGAAGAGTGTCATCATGGGCTTGGCCTCCCTAGTTTTGAAGGTTCTCATTATCCATCCTGTCATTTTTCTAGCAGATGCGATTGATACAATGTTATGGTCCTTGAAGGTGAGATCCTCCGACATGATCACTCCCAGGTCTTTGACGTTGGTGTTTCGCTCTATTTTGTGGCCAGAATTTGTTTTGTACCCTGATGAAGATTTAATTTCCTCATGTTTACCATATCTGAGTAATTGAAATTTCTCATCGTTGAACTTCATATTGTTTTTCTGCAGCCCACTGAAAGATTTGGTTGATGTCTGCCTGGAGCTTTGCAGTGTCTGCAATGGAAGACACTGTCATGCAGATTCGGGTGTCATCTGCAAAGGAAGACACGGTGCTGTGGCTGACATCCTTGTCTATGTCGGATATAAGGATGAGGAACAAGATGGGAGCGAGTACTGTGCCTTGTGGAACAGAGCTTTTCACCGTAGCTGCCTCGGACTTTACTCTGTTGACGACTACTCTCTGTGTTCTGTTAGTGAGGAAATTATAGATCCATCGACCGACTTTTCCTGTTATTCCTTTAGCACGCATTTTGTGCGCTATTACGCCATGGTCACACTTGTCGAAGGCTTTTGCAAAGTCTGTATATATTACATCTGCATTCTTTTTGTCTTCTAGTGCATTTAGGACCTTGTCGTAGTGGTCCAATAGTTGAGACAGACAGGAGCGACCTGTTCTAAACCCATGTTGCCCTGGGTTGTGTAACTGATGGGTTTCTAGATGCGTGGTGATCTTGCTTCTTAGGACCCTTTCAAAGATTTTTATGATATGGGATGTTAGTGCTATTGGTCTGTAGTTCTTTGCTGTTGCTTTACTGCCCCCTTTGTGGAGTGGGGCTATGTCTGTTGTTTTTAGTAACTGTGGGACGACCCCCGTGTCCATGCTCCCTCTCCATAGGATGGAAAAGGCTCGTGATAGGGCTTCTTGCAGTTCTTGATGAACACAGAGTTCCATGAGTCTGGCCCTGGGCAGAGTGCATGGGCATGTCATTTATCGCCTGTTCGAAGTCATTTGGCGTCAGGATAACATCGGATAGGCTTGTGTTAATCAAATTTTGTGGCTCTCTCATAAAAAATTCATTTTGATCTTCGACTCTCAGTCTGGTTAGCGGCTTGCTAAAAACTGAGTCATATTGGGACTTGAGTAGCTCACTCATTTCCTTGTTGTCATCTGTGTAGGACCCATCTTGTTTAAGTAGGGGCCCAATACTGGACGTTGTTCTCGATTTTGATTTGGCATAGGAGAAGAAATACTTTGGGTTTCTTTCGATTTCATTTATGGCTTTTAGTTCTTCCCGCGATTCCTGACTCCTAAAGGATTCTTTTAGCTTAAGTTCGATGCTTGCTATTTCTCTGACCAGTGTCTCCCTACGCATTTCAGATATATTGACCTCTTTTAGCCGCTCTGTTATTCTTTTCCGTCGCCTGTAAAGGGAGCGCCTGTCTCTTTCTGTTTTACATCTACTCCTCCTTTTTCTTAGAGGAATAAGCCTTGTGCATACATCGAGTGCTACCGAGTTAATCTGTTCTAGGCATAAGTTGGGTCTGTGTTGCTAGTATATCTTCCCAGCTTATATCGGTTAGGACTTGGTTTACTTGGTCCCACTTTATGTTTTTGTTATTGAAGTTGAATTTGGTGAATGCTCCCTCGTGACTAATCTCATTATGTCGGTCTGGGGCTCCGCGCATACATGACTGAACCTCAATTATGTTGTGATCTGAGTATATTGTTTTTGATATGGTGATATTTCTTATCAGATCATCATTGTTAGTGAAGATGAGGTCTAGTGTATTCTCCAGTCTAGTAGGCTCTATTATTTGCTGGTTTAAATTGAATTTTGTGCAGAGATTTAAAAGCTCGCGTGAGTGTGAGTTTTCATCAGAGCTGCCTCCTGGGTTATTACTGCAACAATATTATTTGCTATATTCCTCCATTTTAGGTGCCTTAAGTTGAAATCCGCCTTAATTTTAACTATATTTAGTCTAATAAAATCCCTGATGGTGGGAATGCTTCCTTTAAAAAATCTTGCCCTATTTGCTCACTTTTTAACATATATTGGCATTACATACATCTTAAAGAAGCCAAATATATTGCACTGAAATCTTAAATACTGCTTGGGATTTCTCCCGTGGCTTCAGTACATTGCTTTACTCTATAAAGTGGTTTATTCTGTATGTTTTAAGTATAAATGGTTTAAAAACCCCGCATGTGATGAATAAAACCCTTGTGCAGCATGCGGTAATATTTACTCTGGATAAACAAGGACTACAATAGAAATAAGTCTGACTTCTTTGGGTTGTTCTTGTGGGTAATTTACACACATGTTACTATATATGATAATTATATTTCTGTGTACCTGTACCTAAACTTACTAACATTCCCAAGTGCTGAGTAAGTGTCTTTTTCATCGATTTCTTTTGTATACATAGTAAAGTCTAGTGATGTATAGTGTATTAAAGTGGAAAGAATGCTTTTCTCCATATCATATAATATTTACTCGATATTCACCATTATACGTCAGGTCAGGTTAGGTTAGGTTAGGTTAGGTTTTGTTTGTCAGGAAACAGGACAATTGTTTCCTGACGTGAGTCTTAGTTATATGATGACTCACAGCTGGAGCTTTTGGTAGGTTAGGTTAGGTTGGGTTAGGTCAGGTTAGGTTTGTCAGAAAACAGGACAAGTGTGTCTCGACGTGGGTCACACAGCAGTCATGCATGTTGGTAGAGCCCTGGGATGGTGAAGACTTGGTATTCTTTCCGGTACTAGCGTGAAGGTACCTGTGTTGTGGTAACCAGGCTTGCTCCTACGTCTAGCTGAGGTCCAAGGTAATCTACTCCTCCTTTCAAGTTGCGTTGAAATACACGAAGGAAGACAGAGTGAAGAGTAATGGTGGATGTAAACACAATAGCGAAAGCCAGGTAGAAGCAACTTAAGAAGGAACTACTGGACATGGCGTTAGTCAAGACGAACCACCATAATGAGAATAATAATGCTAACTGGGAAGTAAGACAAGATTGGATAACAAACAGGAATAGGAGGAAAGTAGACAGGGCCAACAATAAGACAATAACAGCGAGAATAAAGAGAGGAAATGCAGTAGAGTCGAGAACTGAAGTTGAAACATAGCAAGACTGAGGAGAGGAATTGGATAGATCATGGAGAGAAATATCTGTTAATTGAATGGGATAGGAAGATAACTGATGTATATGGGGTGCAGAAGACGAAGAAGAGAGAGATGAGGAGGTGAGGAAGTGGATGAATAAGAAAAAGATGACGAAGGGGGAAAAAGAGAGGAGTCGAACGAAAAGGATGAGGACCTAGAGGGACATGAAGAAATATCACACTGTGATGAAGGGCATGATGATGCTGGGAATGTAAAGGGAAGAGAATAAAGAGGAGGAGAAGAAGCAGCAGTAGCAGGAGGAGCAGCAGGAGGAGGAGAAGATGAAGTAGAGGAAGACGTAGTAGTAGAAGTTGAAGAAGTAGAGGAGAAAGTAGAAGAAGAAGAAGGGAAAGAAGACTGGGCAGAGGCTAGAAGAGACAGCTTCTCAACTTTCAAATTGACACACTACAAGAACCTTACAGAGAGCTGTGTGTTTACACTACAGTAGGTGACAGCAACAGCCACACACTCCCTCTATAACTACTAGTATAAAAATGCAGCAGCTGACAGCTATAACAGTGAGTAATGTAAATGACAGCTTGTAACAGGTGACTTACTACTCAGACGATAAGTCTGCATCTATAACCTCAGCCGAAAATACTGAAACATTTACGTCATTTTGTGAGTAGGAAATGTATATCCTGACATGTGTAATATTCTACAGCTGTAGTTTAACCTAGGCAAGTGTCACACTGCGTCCTACACTGGGTAGTGACACTGGGTGTGACTAGAGGGATCTCCCTACCACTGGCGCCCCTATTTGATGTGGGTCGCATCCTGTGGTACTTTCAATTATAATACTCAATACGGGGCGCTCTGAGCATTTCTATGCTCCTGTAACCACTGATACTGTTGCTGTAACTACAGATAGGTACTGACATGATGGTTACACTAGCAAATACAGTGTTCGTCCGCACTTTCTTGCCTAGATGAACCAGTCTTAGTGTTTCCAGTGGAAAATGTCTCACAGGAGGACACAGGAAGTCTTCTAGCAAACTGGTTTAATCAGACAAGGGTCAAGCCAACTGAGGCTCCTGAAGTAGCCCCACCTGCAGCTGGCTCTTAGCAGGTATTTCACCAGCTGGGGAAGGTTCTGCAAGTAGCTTGAAGGCAGTACACCAGCTGGGGAAGGTCCCTCTTAAAAAAGGCATACCAGCTGTGGAAAGTCTTGCAACTTCCTTTAGAAGGCGTATCAGCTGGGGAAAGTTCAGGAGCTGGCTTTTAGAAGGCGTACCAGCTGGGGAAAGTTCTGCAGCTGGCTTTCAGAAGGCGTACCAGCTGGGGAAAGATCTGCAGCTGGCTTTTAGAAGGCGTACCAGCAGAGGAAGGTTCTGCAGCTGGCTTTCAGAAGGCGTACCAGCTGGGGAAGGTTCTGCAGCTGGCTTTCAGAAGGCGTACCAGCTGGGGAAAGATCTGTAGCTGGCTTTCAGAAGGCGTACCAGCTGGGGAAAGATCTGTAGCTGGCTTTTAGAAGGCGTACCAGCTGGGGAAAGATCTGTAGCTGGCTTTTAGAAGGCGTACCAGCTGGGGAAAGATCTGTAGCTGGCTTTTAGAAGGCAATACAACCTTTGGGGCTTAAGGCCAGACTATAAACATGGACACAGCAGATGCTAGGTAACTAACACCTCCCACACGCTCTACACCTGATATAAAATCATTGTTGATCCTGAACTTACTGGCTGATACACACAGTATAAGGAAGTGTACAGTACAGCCTGTACAGTAAGCCACGTACATGAGATGCTTCACGTCCTTGACGAGGACCTCCGTTGATCTGTACACATGTCACCCTAGTGTACACACGCACACACTTCCATACTCTAAATACATTTTAACTCTCCATAAGAATCCATAGATCACTCAGGTATATGTAGTGAATACTGCTACTGTTGTACACTCCGTGTACACTCCATGTACACTTGTACACCACCGTCTTGACGCTAATCCATCACATCTGTCAAAAAAAAAAATCAAATATTAATCCACAGAATATATGTACATGTGTATATATACAAAAAACTAATTAAACTAACAAGAATACTAGAAAAATCAACGTTTTGGCTAACAGAGAGGATTAGAACCCATATTAGTTATGCCTAGCCTAGGCTAAGCATAACTAGCATGGATAAGTAGAGTGAAAACCCAGTCAATATGCTTTCTAAGTCAGACTGAACCGTAGCTGGGTTGGTAGTGCACTCAGTTCACACACTGAGGTCCGGGGTTCGACCCCTGGTACGGGTGTATTTCCTTAAGACAGCTGCTGTTACTGTTCAGCTAGCGGTAAGTAGGTATCTGGGTGTTAGTCACCTTACACCTGCTGTCCCTACTCACGTATCAGTAAAATGGGTACTTGGGTGTTAGGTGACTGGTGTGGGTGGCATCCTGGGGACAAACTTGACCTAATTTCCGGGAAATGTGAAACTTTCTATATAGCAGTAGGTCACTGACGTCAGCTATGGTCTATATAAGTCTACTATCTATCACGATCTATCTGGAGTTTATCTGGAGAGAGTTCCGGGGGTCAACGCCCCCGCGGCCCGGTCTATGACCAGGCCTCCTTAGGTCAGTGTCCCAGGATGCGACCCACACCAGGTGGCCCGGTGGCCTGGTGGCTAAAGCTCCCGCTTCACACACACGGAGGGCCCGGGTTCGATTCCCGGCGGGTGGAAACATTTCGACACGTTTCCTTACACCTGTTGTCCTGTTCACCTAGCAGCAAATAGGTACCTGGGTGTTAGTCGACTGGTGTGGGTCGCATCCTGGGGGACAAGATTAAGGACCACAATGGAAATAAGTTAGACAGTCCTCGATGACGCACTGACTTTCTTGGGTTATCCTGGGTGGCTAACCCTCCGGGGTTAAAAATCCGAACGAAATCTTATCTTATCTTACCAGTCGACTAACACCCAGGTACCCATTTTACTGATGGGGAACATAGACAACAGGTGGAAAGAAACACGTCCAATGTTTCTACTCTGGCTGGGAATCGAACCCAGGCCCTCACCGTGTGAAGCGAGAGCGTTAACCACCAGGCCACCAGAGCCCTATATGTTGGGTTCTTCTGTACAATATTTCAGTTCCGAGCTGCCAACACATTTCTCCACCCTGCACTTGTTAAAGTTATTTGGATATTACTAAAGCACTATATATAGCATCAAGTGTAACCTGGACTCGTAGCAATGGTTTTAAGTTGGAAAAATTCAGATTCAGGAAGGATATAGGAAAGTACTGGTTTGGTAATAGAGTTGTGGATGAGTGGAACAAACTCCCAAGTACAGTTATAGAGGCCAAAACGTTGTGTAGCTTTAAAAATAGGTTAGATAAATACATGAGTGGGTGTGGGTGGGTGTGAGTTGGACCTGACTAGCTTGTGTTACTAGGTCCGATGCCGTGCTCCTTAAGTGGAAGTGACCTGACTAGGTGTGTCATTAGGCTAAACCGGAGGGTAAAAAATGGACCACAATGGAAATAAGTCACTCTGTCTGACTTTTTTGTGTTATCCCAGGTTCTCTACACATATGCTGCTATGTATGATAATTCTATGTAACTGTATTGTGTATACCTGAATAAACTTACTTACTTACTTACTTACTTACTTACTTACTTACTTACCTGCTTCACGTGGGTAAGTAGGCCTTCCGTAGCAGGTACCTAATTAAACCATACCCCCGGCCGGGATTGAACCCGCGGTCATAGAGTCTCAAAACTCCAGCCCGTCTGTAAAAACTTGCATTTGTGGTCACAGAGGTGCCTGTGTTAACCTTCCTATGGTGTAGAAATATACCTAGTTGGATGAATCTTATTGTGGCTAGCTGGTCTAGTGGCTAACGCGACGGTCTGGAGTTTTGAGACTCTATGACCGCGGGTTCAATCCCGGCCGGGGGTATGGTTTATTTGCAATCGTGTCATTACGATTTCTTGAGTCAGGTACCTAATTACTCACCAACATCACAAGATGATACAGGCCTTGTTCTCCTTAAAGGGATTCTCTGATTGGCTGATACCTGTCACCAATACATCTACGTGTTCGTGTTCTTCACAGTACTTGATTAAACTGGAAAAAAAAACACAATAGCATTTAGAAATACAAAAAAATAATATGCATATGGAAAATCCTAGAGTGCTAAAGTCTGGGACTAGTCCCAAATCTGTGCACTGAAATCACTCCCTATGAGAGCAAGAGACTGGGCAGGAGATGCAACATTCCCCCAGTGATAAGCAGTGGTGCCACGAGTACACTGAGAGACAACAAAATAAGTGTCAGGGGCCCAAGACTGTTCATCTGACTCCCAGCATACATAACGGGGATTACCAATAGACCCCTGGTTGTCAAGACCCCTGGTTGTCAAGACCCCTGGTTGTCAAGACCCCTGGTTGTCAAGACCCCTGGTTGTCAAGACACCTGGTTGACTTCAAGACCCCTGGTTGTCTTCAAGACCCCTGGTTGTCTTCAAGACCCCTGGTTGTCTTCAAGACCCCTGGTTGTCTTCAAGACCCTGGTTGTCTTCAAGACCCATGGTTGTCTTCAAGACCCCTGGTTGTCTTCAAGACCCCTGGTTGTCTTCAAGACCCCTGGTTGCCTTCAAGACACCTGGTTGTCTTCAAGACCCCTGGTTGTCTTCAAGACACCTGGTTGTCTTCAAGACCCC